AAATTATTACTAGATGTTTTCAGAATACTGATATATGGCAAATTTACTTAAAAGCGTAGTCTAGGTACTAGGCATATTCAGGGTGATCAATCAAGTGCAAATATTTTCAGGGCTGGTAGACCGCGATAAAACAAACATATTTTCTTTTTACTGTTTTTCAAATAAGTCCAAAATAACCGAGTTATTTTACTTATTTCCAAAAAAAATGATTTTTGCTTAAATTTTGAGAACCACTGGATCTTTTCTGGGTTTTCTTTCTTCTAAATATACCTATGTTGCCATATTATCAAACCAAACCAAACCAAACTAAAAAAAAATCCAAAAAATATTTCAAGAAATTCCAAATTTTCAAATGTTTTTTGAAACAGCCTGTATGATAATTTTGTACCTAATAAACCTCTAAAATAGTTCAGTACAAACCACAGTGAGTTCAACAATTTCTATCTGATGTTATCAGATTAAAATATATATTTACAGAACTGTCAAAATGGCAAATGTATTAGGAGGCATTCTTTGGTTCTTAATCCTAATAACTTTTGCATTTCCAATAGCATATTATTGCGCGGGCTTCTATATCTTGGTTTACTGTTTTACCCAAGTTTGTACATTTTGTGAGGTAAGCCATAGTAAATTGTAATTTTTAATTAATAATATATAGTAATATAGATTATAATCTTTTCTATTTTTAGGGTTCCTCCGATTTGTTAGAAAAGGGAATGCAGTTACCTGGATATTCTGTGAGAAAAATTTTAAATTGTGAGTGTTAACAAGAATAAGTGTTATAAAATACCTACTTATAATATAATATATATATATATATATATATATATATATATATATATATATATATATATATATATATATATATATATATATATATATATATATATATATATATATATATATATATATATATATATATATCATCATTCATTCTAGAATCAGATATATATATATATATATATATATATATATATATATATATATATATATATATATATATATATATATATATATATATATATATATATATATATATATATATATATATATATCTTCATTATGTCCTTCCATCCTGGGGTTGCTGCGCAACAAAATTTGATCATATTTTCAAACTTCAAAAGGGAGCAGTTCGATATTAATTGGGACTGAACAGCAGAACTCACTGGCAGAGTTTCCTTAAAAGTTTCAAAATACTGACCCTTCCTTTTTCATTCATTTGTTCGCTTAATCCTCAAGCACAATATCTGCTATTCCCGAAAGGCCATCTCACAACTATCCACTTAGGAAGGCGGATCATGATCTTTATCTGCCAACCCCGAGCTCAGATCTAGTTAAAGGCTCAATACTGTACAATGCCAAAGCAGTCCGATGGATTCTTAGTACTGCAGTCCTTTTAAATTTAAAACTCCCTCCATAGAAAACAAAAACAGAATAGTCAATCATCTCATACTATCTCAACTTATACTATCACTGTAATACGTTCACAGTCATTTTGATGTGACAAACAAAAATAAGTATAAACAAAAATAAATTATTAGATGTTTTTAGAATACTGATATGACAAATATCTACTTAAAAGCGTAGTGTAGGCAAAAATTACTCGTACATATATAAATACATACTGCCATTACTCGCTGACGAGTATTTGACACGCATCAGAACCTCGATAAAACAAAAGGCGATAAAACAAAGGCGCAAGGCGTTTTCTTTCATGAGCTTTTCTGTGACTGAAAAGCCCGATACGCGATTTTATCTCTCTTCCGCACTCCGGACATTCAAAAATCTCATTGCCAGGCAAAGATTACATGCATGGTGTAGGTACTAGCGGTACTAGGTATATTATACTAGTGATGGGTATACCGGTTCCACATGAGTCGCGTTGCAATAACGACCGTTCCAGAGAAATACCGCGATTTTGTAATCGGGGTTCCGACTTCCAAAGTGTCGCGGTCCTCGCTTATGCAGTATTTCTGCCATTAGTACCTACCTACTCCCAACATGCTCCCACCTAGTGCCAGTGTTGTCAGGTTCTTACAATTATTGTACCAGCTGTCACAACCATGCGTGCAACCATTCTCATGATATGCAGAAGACTGGCGGGAAATAGGTGGGGCTGCGCCCCTAACATTTTGCGCTGGATGTATACCATGATAGTAAGTCCCATGATTACTTATGGAGCAGTTGCTTGGTATACAAAACTAGAGCAACGTACAGCAAGGCAAAACCTGTGCAAAGTACAGAGACTGGCATGTATCTGCATCACAGGTGCCATGAGAACATGTCCAACAGCAGCAATGGAGGTCATTCTAGACCTAACACCACTGCATATTGTCGTCGGTAGTTATGCCAATGCGACAATGATTAGAATGGTTACTGACGGAAACAGTACTGGGAGAATTTTCAGGTCATGTTTGGAACACCCTCAAAAAGAAAATTCCACTTCTCAAACTCCCAGTGGATAACATACCAAGAATTTACAACTTTGAGAAACACCTCACTGTAGTATTGAGTAATAAAAAGGATTGGGAAGAAAGAAACGCTTACTCAGCATATAAAAGACCATACCATCACGTGGTATACTGATGCTTCCAAAACCAAAGCAGGGACTATTTGGGGCGAAAACTGAATACTCCGAACCAATGGGCATCTACCCCAGTGTCCTTCAGGCAGAAATTTGCGCTATCGAAAGATGCGTACAATTTATCTTAGATAGGAACTATCGAAAACAAGAAATTGCCATCCTATCCGATAGTCAAGCAGCACTTAACGCGATCAACTCAGTAACCATCAATTCGAAGTTGGTCAAAGAATGCCTAGAGAAGCTTAACAAATTAGGCAAAGAAAATAAAGTCTTCCTACTCTGGGTGCCTGCTTACCAAGGGATAGAAGGCAATGAAAAAGCAAATGATCTAGCTAGAAAAGGAACGAACACTCCACTAACTGGACCAGAACCGTTCTGTTTTCCAAACGGGAACCAACTGAAAGAGGAACTGAAGAATCTGGAAGACTCCATCCGTAACTTGGAATGGGTATCCTCCAACGGTCTAAGACACTCGAAAAAGTTCCTTAGAACTTATGACCGAGAAAAATCAAAGGTTTTCCTTGAGTAAAAACAATCTTTGGATTGTCACGGGGTTTCTAACAGGACACTGTCTCCTCAACGAACACCTCAGTAGGCTGAAACTGAGAAACAACGGCGAATGCAGATTTTGTGGGGAAAATGGGGAAACACCAGAACACCTTATCACTGAGTGCGCCGAGACGGCGACCATTCGTGCCATGAACCTTGGTACGTCTGATGTCGAGGATGGAGAGCTGGCCTCTGTGGAGCCGTCTCAGATACTGGCTTTTCTTAAAGCCCTGAGACTGTATGATGAGTTATAACTCGTTATAACTCAAGAAAGGGGAATACACAATAGATCTATAAGGTCGCGGTGATTAACTTCCCTCCTAAACATTCTACATTCTACAACCATTCGTGCCAGCGTGCCAGAAGCTTAGGTACAACTGATATTGGAGATGGAGAATTACCCTCTATAGAACCGTCCCAGATACTGGCTTTTGTCAAAGCCCTGGGACTGTATGATGAGTTATAACTCAAGGAAGGGGGACACGATAGATCTGTAAAGTCGCAGTGATCAACCCCCACTCATTCTACATTCTACCAGCTCAAAATACAATTTGCTGAGATTTATTGACTTTTCCACCACCTTTTTTACAAACTGCAAATTTTAAAAATAAAACTTTCGTAATGATATAAATTGTATTTTTAAATTTATTATAGAAAATGATAGAAGTTCTAGCAACACTGCCCCCATCCCTGCCGTTATGTCTGTGTCCGTGTAAATTCATTATACAGGGTGTCAGTGGCGGATACAGAGGGGGGCCCATGGGGCCCGGGCCCCCCCTAAAACCTGTAAATTGTGTTAAATATTAGGCTTTTGGGTTAAAAATGGCGCCCTAGAAAGCATGTTCTACATTACTTTTTATTTTGGACCCCCCCTAAAATAAATTCCTGTATCCGCCCTGCAGGGTGTCTTAATATTCCGTGAACATAGAACTACTACCTATTTTAGTCTTTCTAAGTATTTATCACATTGTTGTCACTTGTAAAAAAGCCACAACGCATAGTTTTTAACAAAAACATTTTTGAAGAAGTTTTTTTTTAAAAGCAGACCTATAAAATATACAGGGAGTTCCAATAATTTGTGGACAAAGGACAAGTACGTATTTTTGAATCAAAATTAGTTATTAATTAATTAGGTAATTGCACATAATTTACCTTTATACAGAAGTGCTTCGTTTGTCCGTTAGAGGGCATCAATAAAAATAAACCCGAACGTTAATTAATTTAAAATTTATTCATTTTTTTAAATTTTTTATGAAACGGAATTTTTTCTTAACTTTTTATGAAACTTAATTTTTTGGTGCCCTTTAAGTGGACAAACGAAGCACTTTTTTTTAGAGGTAAACTCAGAGACAATAGACTTGATTCCAAAAATACGTAGTAGTTCTATCTCCACGGAATACTGGGACACTCTGTATATTTGAATCACCTTGTTTTTCTTGTATGAAAATACCTATATACACCCTTATACACCCAACCGCCAAACGATATTTTTACGGAATACTTTAATACTAATGTAATTTATATAGGGTGTTTCAAAAAAACATGTGCCATGTCTCTTGGAGACATCGTGCAAAGCGGTCAGCCGTTGTGTCCCCTGAAGGCGCCTTTGGTTTTTGCTCCCAATAATTTTTGCACTTCCAATAGCAGAATTTTGAGCATGGTTCTACATTTTATGTTTATTCCAAAGTCTGTATAACTTGCGAGGTAAAAAAATAAAATGATAATTTTTTGTGGAATAAAATTAAAATAAATCCTTTTTTAGTTTTGCTCGGATTTATTATATAGTCAAAAAGGAGCTACCTGGATTTTGTATGAAAACAATTATTCTAAAATGCGAGTGTTACGAAAAAAAGTTTTATTGCAATAAGCTCAATAAACACAATTTAAAAATGTTCTAATTAAAGTGTTACATAAAATATATATACAAAAATAAATTTATCCTAAATTCTGTACCACTTCTGGCCCACTTTTAAGTTGACTCAAAATACTTTGAGCTTCCTGCTCAGATATATCAGTTGTATCACAATCGAACACAGAACGGAAACTTTTGATAAACTCAGGTATCACTTCATCTACAGTTACATTCCTTTGTAATTCCCTAGATAGACTTGTAACTCCTTTCCCTTCAATTCCGCAAGGAACAATATGATCAAACCACTTTAAATCCGTGTTACAGTTCAATGCCAAACCGTGCGTCGTAATAAAACGACTACCGTGAATACCTATAGCGCAAATCTACAGAAAAATTGGTAATGCATGTCTGCTTTAATAAGAATACATACGTTTTACTTTATTATCGCCAATCCAAACTCCAGTATGAGGCGAAGTTTCTGCGTGTAAATAAAATTTTTTACACAAATTTATCACGGTTTTCTCAATTTGACAAACGTACCATCGCATGCTTGGTTTAAAATGTTTTAGATTTAAAATAGGGTATACAACTAACTGTCCAGGTCCATGAAAAGTTATTAAACCACCTCTATTTGTTCGATGGAACTCTGCACCTGAGATATATAAAGTTAATTTTATAAACAAAAAGAATATACAACAAATCACAACCTTTTTTTCTTAGTTCATTTTCTTCATGTACGGTGTACTGATTGGAACGGATTCCAACAGTATACACAGGTGAATGTTCTAAACAGAGCAACGTATTTTTAATTCTATTTTCTACATCATTGTGAAGAGTAGATAAATGTTTTTGAAGTTTTAGTCCTTGGCAGTAATCCAGTTTACCAATTTTCCATACCTTAACTAATTTGTCTAAACTATTCACCATTTTTAAAAATTATTGAGATGAAGATAACGAGAGTATTGCACAGTTCTTAAATTAAAAAATCAACATTAAAACAAATAGGTTATAAAATCTCTAATCAAGAAATCAAGTCCACAGATCACAGCTAATCACAGCTCATCACAATCACCCAGTCACCACAGATGAGCTGATATGCGCATGATCACAAATCACAAGTGTGATAAAATCACTGGATCAAATCCTGATCATTTTTTACATTTTTAAAATTCATGTTTGTATAACGAGTTGCATAAGCTATATTTCCACAGATCACGTAAATATATTTCTTAACTATAACTTGTCATAATTATTTGTACTTGGTAATTATTTCAATAAATAATCAATTTATTGATTTTTAACTGGATTTTGTCTCGTAATTAGCAACATCATTGATTTCGCCTTGTAATTACTAATTTACAACAAAGGAATGTTCTAGAATTTATTTAATTTTCCCTCTTATCTACAAATGATTTGATTGGTCAGGCATTCAGGACGGCGCCGCGTACCGGCTGCTTTTTAAATCATTGCGTAACATTTGTCTGTCAGAATTTGCCGGAAACCATCTTTTCAAGTTTTTCTTGCACGTGAAAAACGAATAACTTCGATTAAAGTTTCCAAAAGTAGTAAATCCAAATTAATTAAAAATGCTCTCGGCCGCTCGTGCGTTTAATAAAGCCGCTTCACAGTGCTCAAAATTAACAAACGGTCTTACTCCCACGCCGAAATTGAGTAGTTTGTTGAATTCTGTAAGTATCCCATTTTAGTTTTATTTACCCCCGTTTGCAATGAAATAATGCGGGAGGGTGCTCTTTTGCTAAGTGTTGTTATAGATATGTAGTTTATACAATTACGTGTTACTTAAAATTGTTTTTTAAAAAATGAAAATTGAGGGTTAGAACTGCTACATTGCGTCACTAAAATCATTGTTCTTTCCGTAGAATTTGATCCCAAGTGTTTCCCTTCATCCTAAATATGACCAGTTACGATTTAAGTAAGTTTACAATTGGTAGTACTAGACCAAAATCATTAATATGTCATATTTTCTTTTAGATCTGATGCGATTAGGGGTGCAGTTATTGGAATTGACTTGGGTACAACCAATTCATGTGTCGCTGTCATGGAGGGTAAACAAGCTAAAGTAATAGAAAATTCCGAAGGTTCTAGAACAACACCTTCAGTTGTTGCATTCACTAAAGATGGAGAAAGGCTTGTCGGTATGCCAGCTAAAAGACAAGCAGTTACAAACTCTGCCAATACTTTTTATGCGACAAAGAGATTGATTGGAAGGCGATTTGATGACCCAGAAGTAACAAAGGATATGTAATGAATTTCAGCATAATTGAAGTACACATAGTAGTTGACATTTTTATGTTTTTTAGGAATAATGTATCCTACAAAATTGTTAAGGCTAGCAATGGAGATGCTTGGGTTCAAGGTACCGATGGCAAGATGTATTCACCCAGTCAGATTGGAGCTTTTGTATTGATCAAAATGAAGGAAACTGCAGAAGCTTACTTGAATACTAAAGTATGTACTTTTTTCTCTAATTGGAAGCAATAAAATATAAAAAAATGTCATTTCTTAAAGGTCAAAAATGCTGTAATTACTGTGCCTGCCTATTTTAACGACTCTCAGAGACAAGCTACTAAGGATGCCGGACAAATTTCTGGCTTAAATGTTTTGAGAGTAATCAATGAACCGACTGCTGCCGCTTTAGCTTATGGAATGGACAAAACTGAAGACAAAATGTAAGTATTTTTTAGAGATATCTTTAGGAAAATTAATAAAAGATAGTATGCACGTCATCAAAATATTTGACATTTGCATGTTCCAATGTTGCCAAGGCTACTTTTTTTACTTTGACCTTGGACAACTGTCAATTAAAGCTTGTAATTTTGTCACTGATATTTCACTGCAATTTTAAATACATATACAAGTGTCTTTTTTCAATGTGAGATTATTAACAAGTTTTCTGAATAAAAGCTGAAAAATTAAAGTTCTAATAGGTTAACATTAGTGTTCACTTTTTGTGTGAGATTCTACTCATAGTCTAAACTGATATTGAGTGCAGCAGAAACATGCTGAAAGGTCTATGTTAAAAAAAAATAAATGCTGTAAAACTTAAGTAATAATATCAATTTTTATTTCTCTAACGTTCTTTAACTGCAAAGGGGGCTTGCCATGATCTTGAAAATACCCAAGAGGAAACTTGTAAAGGGAAAAAACAGCTTTAAATATACAAAGTTGGTTTTGAACATGTACTCGGATTTTATACATTTTCTACTAAATATTCTACATTTTCGACATTTTCTAAGCATTTTTCTACATACACATAGAAAATTAATTTTCTACGTGTCGTTACCCAACCCTGGATGACGTGCACGACGCCAACTTTTCTTGATTTCTTTATAGTTTAGAAAATAACATGATGTTTGAGAAGTATTTGCTACTCTTGAAGAACCATGATGTAAATACACATTCTGATATTTCACTTGATATCGACTTTTATTGATTTCTCTATATGCTTATATAACAGTTTGGTTTTCTTTTAATAGTATTGCTGTTTATGACTTGGGTGGTGGTACTTTCGATATATCGATTTTGGAAATCCAAAAGGGTGTCTTCGAAGTCAAGTCAACTAACGGCGACACATTCCTAGGAGGTGAAGATTTCGATAATGTTCTAGTTAACTTTTTGGCTTCGGAATTTAAAAAGGAACAAGGCGTCGATGTGGCCAAAGACCCAATGGCGATGCAGCGTTTGAAAGAAGCCGCGGAAAAAGCCAAAATTGAACTGTCATCTGGATTGCAAACCGACATCAACTTACCTTATCTGACTGTCAACGAATCCGGCCCTAAACATATGAATCTCAAATTAACTAGGTAATATAAGAGAGTATTTTGTGTCTAAATGTTCTAACAATGAGTATTATAGATCAAAGTTTGAAAGTTTGGTGGGTGATCTGATCAAAAGAACTGTTTCTCCATGCCAAAAGGCTCTGAAGGATGCTGAAGTGTCAAAGGCCGAGGTTGGAGAAGTTTTATTGGTAGGAGGTATGACTAGGATGCCAAAAGTACAGTCAACTGTACAAGACATTTTTGGAAAACAGCCTAGCAGAGCAGTCAATCCTGACGAAGCTGTAGCGGTCGGTGCAGCTGTTCAAGGTGGTGTCCTTGCTGGTGATGTTACAGATGTATTATTGTTAGATGTTACGCCACTGTCTTTGGGTATTGAGACCCTTGGAGGTGTATTCACAAGGTAAAATAGTGTATTCAGAATGGTTAATGAGTTTTTAATTTGGATTATTGTATCTTTTCAGGCTTATTAACCGAAACACAACCATTCCTACAAAGAAATCTCAAGTTTTCTCAACTGCTGCCGATGGACAAACCCAAGTCGAGATTAAAGTATTCCAAGGAGAACGTGAAATGGCAGCAAATAACAAAATTTTAGGTAGATTATTATTTAACATCAAAATAAAAACACTAAATCATCACAATACACCAAAACACTTTTACTTTTACACTGGACGCGCGTTTCGCTAACCATGTTAGCATCATCAGCAGATGATCAAGGGATAACTCTCTATCAAACGGTATTGAAAAATACTTTGTTGTATCTTTCTCCACTTGAAAAGTCGAATTTTCAGAAATCAACAACTTATACCTACGTTTTCTAATTATTTTATCAACTAGTGAAGGAGAATATCCATTACACTCGGCTACATTCCTAATGTAATCTCTTTCTATTTCATATTTTTCTTTGGTAAGTGGAAAACTAAGTAATCTATGAACTAAGAAATTTAAACTAGCCATTTTATGTTCAACACTATGATATGATTCATTAAACAAATAAATCTTTATTGACTACGTAAATAAACAGATAAGAATTCATAAAAATACTAAAAGTTAGAAAAAAAAAACAATACACTGAGGCAAAGTGTGTTACATTAAATACATACAAGACAAACAACAATTTAAGAATTTTTGTACAAATAAATCAAATTAAATCTTACAAAGGAACATTAGGAATATATCTGCGTGTTGTGGTATTTTTCCTATAGATATCAAATTCCAGACAATTATTAATATTTCTAATGACTAATACACCTAGAAATGGTAATCTATCATTGTTCTCAATTTCATGTGTAAATTTAATGGAAGGAGAACCATTATTTAACTTAGAAATAAAATTTATCTATGGTGTCTTAATGTGTGTAAAAATCAGCAAAAATATCATCCACATACCTAAACCATACTCTTGGAAAATACTCTAACCGATTCTTAGCCTCCACTTCAAACCTGCTCATGAATAAATTAGCCAAAAATGGAGACAATGGATTACCCATTGCTGTACCTTCCCGCTATTCAAAAAAGTTGTTATTAAATTGTAAACAATTTTGTTTCATACATAACGGTGTAAGCTCAATATATTCAAACACAGTTTTGTTGTCGAGACCATTTGCGTTCAGTAATTCCTTCAAGTAGCCTAAAGTATGTAGAATTGGAACACTAGGGAACAACGTAGATACATCAAAGGAGACCAAAATTTCACCTTCATGCAATGTTATATTTTTAATTTTGTTAATGAATTCAATATTATTTTTAACTGTTAACTTATTTTAATTTTGTTGACGAATTGTAACTATTTTTTTTAATTGCCCACAGGACAGTTTTCTTTGATTGGTATTCCACCTGCACCCAGAGGTGTGCCACAGATTGAAGTTACTTTCGACATTGATGCCAATGGTATTGTGCATGTATCCGCCAGAGACAAAGGCACTGGAAAAGAACAACAAAGTTAGTTGGTTAATTTATGTGTAGGTTTATTTTGTTACAATTGATTTATTGTTTTTAGTTGTCATCCAATCTTCTGGTGGTCTTAGCAAAGACGAAATCGAAAATATGGTCAAAAACGCTGAACAGTACGCTCAACAGGATAAGGTTAAGAAGGACAGAGTGGAAGCAATCAACCAGGCTGAAGGAATCTTGCACGACACAGAAACTAAGATGGAAGAATATAAAGTAAGGAAAATGTTTTACTTGAATTGAACTAATGATTTTTGTGTTTCAGGCACAATTACCACAAGAGGAATGCGACAAACTACGAGTAGAAATTGAGAAAGTTAAGGAATTGCTTGCAAAGAAAGACGATGCCGACCCTGAAGAAATCCGTAAATCCACAACAGCCCTGCAACAAAGTTCTTTAAAACTCTTCGAAATGGCGTACAAAAAGGTAAGGTTACAGTTTTTTTTATATTTTGAAGTATATACCGGGTGAGTCTTAAATAAGTGCAAATCTTTTCAGGGCTGGTAGATCTCGATAAAAGAAACATATTTTCGCTTCACCGTTTTTCAAATAAGTCCAAAATAACCGAGTTATTACTTTGAAAATTTAGGGAAAAAAATATTTTTTGCTCAAATTTTGAAAATCACTGGATCTTTTCCGAGTTTTCTTTCTTGTAAATTTAATATACTACGGGAAATTTTGTTTTTTAACTAAAAAAATTCCAAAAAATGTTTCGAAATATATTACCGCTAAAAATATTTGCACTTATTTAAGACTCACGTTGTATATTGAGAAAATGGTTACACTTGTTGAATTTGACACCTTGTCAGTTTAATAATATATCGTATGATCGAATAAAAACGGCGTCAGCGATGGCTATGAAATGAAGATCGCTGTATTTTATATGTAAAATTATATGGGAACTGTCATCAATCTTCATTTCGTAGCCATCGCTCGTTTTTTCCTTTGAATAAAATGATTAAGGAAGGAGTATAATGCTATCCAGGTATTCATCCATGGTAGACGGACAAAGGACCCTGCGATTTTTTTTTGACGATTCATTTGGCACATTTGAATTTGATTTGAAATTTTGTGGATTTGTGAGTCTTTACTGAGCTTATTTTATGTTAATTTTTATTTATTCTATTACTGATAGTTGTTTAAAAGTAGAAAATCTAGAAGGAAATTGTGGGCAGAACTTAAATTAACAGTCAGCCCCGGATCTAAGGGGGGGCAAACCGGAGCACCTGCCCCGGGCGCCAGTGTGAAGGAGCGCCAAAATCATTTTATAATGCGGTTGAAAATCAACAAAATTGCTACATAAAGCGCCTAGTATGCACTTTACGTTCTTCTATCAAGTATTCGTTTAATTTTAAAACGCTGTGTTAGTTTTTGAACACATTCTAAAGTTTCATTCAGAACCTCGCAATTAGTGGAATAAATTAGCGGTTTCAATTATTACACTTTATACTTTTTAATTTACGGGCATTCACAATGTTTAAAAAATACAATTAAAATTAATAGAATATCCTAGCAACAGCTTGCGGTAGTCAGTTGTATCCATAAAGAAAGCCAAATATTTAGCTTATAAAACAATAAACTTTTGATTTCTAACCACGATTTCTCTTGACGGATCAATGGCCAAAATGACATTTCCCGCAAAATTTGAAGTATAATTAGTGGAAAAGTCAAAAGTTTGTTTAGTTTTTCTACTAATTGAAAATGACTACCACTAATTTAGACGTTCTGAATGCTTACATTGAAATTACAGAAACAAACTTCTACGCTAATTAAAACCACTAATTTATTCAACTAATTCGGAGGTTCTGAATGAAGCTTAAGGGCTCATTCTGTCCCGTTTACGAAAAATGCCTACCTATATCTAGATATTTCTAAGTTTTTTAAATTAATTTATTGCAAACGCTGGAGAGAGGGGGCGCTACTATCAATTTTTTGCCCCGGTTCAAAAAAATTGTAGATCCGGGGCTGTTAACAGTGACACTATTGCGATTTATTGAAAAAGACTGTAAAATAGTTGGTTGTGTAGCGTGCGGCAGATCTCGGTCAAAAATTGAGGGAAATAATGGAATAACTTTTCGCTAGTAAGTGACTATAATATAATCTGGGGGGGCATACTTGTAGTAAACTGATCATTTATGAAATTCACTTAAAATGAAGCAATTATATATTTTTCTTGCATTTTTGCTTTTATGTACTACTTGTCAAAGATTAGATGTCAAAGAATTTAGGTACGTCAATTTGGCCACAGATTATACAGATTATAAACTTTGTTTTTTTTATTGTTTTTCGTGGTTCCAATTTTCGGAATCGGGCACTAGTTCGGTTACTAGTTTGTGCACATAGCACGCCCACTTATGGCCTCTAAAATTTTGTGCACAGCGCCTGACCGGTCCAGTTATTAGAGTGATATCGGAAAACCGAATAGCGTCATGTAGTATTTACGCGTCCCTTATTTTGACAGTTACGATATGCGCGAGTAAATTTTTAACGCAACGCCCGTTAATAACGTTACCGCCTGACGTAATTTGCGGATCAATTACACAAAGCGCTATTTCTAAATAACGTTTAAAAATTGCTTAAATGGGTGTGTGCGGGTATTTGACAACCGGGGCCGGCCGGCGAGATCTTTTATTTTAGGTTATGTTTGAATTGTTTTGAATAGTGGGACTAGTTTTAATTAAATAAATATGGCTCAAAATATGGATTCCACCTCTTCCAATATTAAAGAACCTATAAAGAGGCTTAGGTTTACAGCAGATGATGACTTAGCCCTTCTAAGAGAATTTGTTGCCCTAAACCCACTGACAGACGTTGAACAATAAAGCACTGGAAATAAGCACTTTAGCCCTTTAGTTTTAAAATACCTAGTAAACAAAACAATTTCAAAGTTTTAAATTCAAAGTTAGGTTAAGTTTAAATAGCGGACGCGACGCGAACAGAATTCTTTCCGATCCGATAAGTATAAATGAAGAGTTAGTACCACCTCACGTAAAGGAAATAACACCTGGCGTTATTAACGTCTATGCACGCTATTCGGTTTACCGATATCTCTCTATTACGCTGTTTATTGTTATTTTACGCGAGTTTATTTTTGCGCACAGGAAATTTTACTCGTTTGCTCATCGTCATAAAAAACAATTTTCGTACATTCGTACCACGAATTAGGGATAAGATTTTTATCTGTATACATATAGTATACCTAATCTGTGATTTGGCTTACCTGCTTCAGTAGCGTATCGGATGTTTGTGTTAATAAATAATTATTATAACTTATCTATTTTTTTATTAGAATTGTATATTTTTATAACAATTTTAATAACTACCGACATTTATTCTCAGTATAAAATAAAACAACAAAGTATTGAGTCTACCCCACCTCTACCCTACATCATATTTTTACGTTTTGAATAAAATTAGAACGGCACTGATAAACCGGAATTTAAGTCAACCATTCTAGTTGATATGCTCCTTCCATTACTTTTTTTTCAAAGATGAAAGAAGTTTTTTTTATGAAATATCATTTTGAAAAAGTCATTTTCATGACCAGAGTTCTTCAGTTAAATAAAAAAAAATTAAAATAACATGATGTTGAGAAGTATTTGCTACTCTTGAAGAACCATGATGTAAATACACATTCTGATATTTATTTACCTCTTAATGATTTAATTTTAGTTTTTTTTAAGTAATATAATTTTTGTTTGTCTTTCTAGATGGCAGCTGAAAGGGAAGGAAGCAGCAGTCAAAGTCAAGAACAACAGTCATCAGAAGAACCAAAAGAAAAGAAGGAAGAAAAGAATTAAATTATCTCAGTATAATAAAGGGACAATTTTTTTTTTCAATTAGTTGCTATCGCGCAACTGAGCCTTATGTATAGCGTTTTTAGGTTCAGTTGTTAGGTTTTCCAATTAATAAAGTGCGAAAATGTGATTTCTTGCGCGTATTAATTCGAAGGCGACCAAGATTTTCTCGACTGAACTAGAAAGACAGGGTGTGCTAGTGGAATAGAGAATGTGCAGTGTTACTGTTTTTTTTTATATAATATTAATTTTGGAGATGAAATTTAGTGTACAGGTTATATTTTTTGTCACGGAAGAAATTTGACAGTTGAACTGTCAATATGAATGTTCTCCAATAAATTCTGTGTTATAAATTGTTAATTTTTAACAATTGTATGTTAAAATACATGTTTCTAGAAAATTATTTTTTATGTATTTCATTTTTATTATATTTAGTCCACTACCAATAGACCATAATGAACTGTCTGACCACCCTATACAGGGTGGTCCATCGAAAACGTTCCGCAAGGCATAGTGGCCAGGGTATTTCTTTTTTCAAAAAATCCAAAAACACGTCAATTTTGTTTGTGAGGGGGACAACTTTTGCCCCAAAAATTATTGCAAAATCTTCAACCCTCTAAGCGGGGGTGTCATCCCATAACTATTTTCAAATGGGAAGGGGGGTCAAGCGACACCGCAATGAAAAGAGCTTTATATTCTCTATACTTTCCCGCTTCGTTTTTGAAAATCGGTCCAGTCATTGAGAAAATATGAAGGGTTGAAATTTGAAAAGTTTATTTATAATTTATCAGAGTAAATGATACGGATAAATTTCTTCGACCAATTTGCTGTTTTTTCTTATTATTTCTAGATGTTTACGCATTTTTTCACTTGCCACAAGGTTGAACGATCAGATGCGGTAGTTGCTAGATAGCTGTTCTGTGACTTGTGCATTGAAGTTCTTCCCATTCTCACTTCGTTCATTTCCAAAAATACCAGCCCACACGTTCAATATCTGAGGGTTTTGTGTGTGCACCTCGTGAAAAACCCTGGGGTTGTCATCAGCCCAATACCGACAGATGTGCCGTTTAACTACACCGTTCAAAAAGAACGTACACTCGTCCGAAAAACACACATTAAATAGGAAATTATTATCATTTGCCACTCGTTCACTCATAGTTTCATAAAATTGCAAGCGACGATCAAAATCGTATCGTTAAGTTCTTGTACCAACTGAATTTTGTACGGGTGGAACTTGCGTTTTTTAATATCCTTTGGACACTTGTACGATTCACGCCGGTCTCATTGGCTAATTTTCTTGTACTCAGCGTACTATCCATGGCAACTTGGCCCAATACGAATACCTCCATAACTTTATTTACTACAGGATTTTCCCTCTGCCTCTTTTTATTCATAACGGAACCAGTTTCGCGAAATTTTGCTACTAACTAGCGAACAATTTTGCCATAAAGGTGTTTGTCCGGATGGCGTTCATTGAATATCCGCGCAACCCGATTGCCAGAGTCATTATTTTTAAAATAAAGTTCGATTATTTCCACTTTTTCTGCAAGTGAGTACACCATAATTGTTAAAAAGTTTAACGATATTGAGAAGAACTTCAACGCACAAGTCCCAGAACAGCTATCTAGCAACTACCGCACCTGATCGTTCAACCTTGTGGCAAGTGAAAAAAAGTGAAAATCATTTTGCGTAAACATCTAGAAATACTAAGAAAAAAACAGCAAATTGGTCGAAGGAATTTATCCTTATCATTTATTCCGATAAATGTTTGAATAAATTTTTCAAATTTCAATCCTTCATATTTTCTCAATGACTCGACCGATTTTCAAGAACAAGCGGGAAAGTATAGAGAATAGAAAGCCCTTTTTATTGCGGTACCACTTGACACCCCGTCCCATTTGAAAAAAATGGGGGATGACACCCCCGCTTAGAGGGTTGAAGATTTTGCAATAATTTTTCGGGCAAAAGTTGTCCCCCTCACAAACAAAATTGACTTGTTTTTGAATTTTCTGAAAAAAAAATTATCCTGGCCCACTCCTGGCCGTTATGCTTTGCGGAACGTTTTTTGATGGGCCGCCCTGTATAATGGCTTTTTAGTAGAGCTGGGCAGATTGACCGAGTATTAAAAAAACAATAATAGACCAAGGCCAACTCGACAAGTGTCACTGTGACAGTTTTGACGTAAGAAACGTCAAAAGGCGATGTCCGATCTGGTTCAAATTTGGTGGGTAGGCTATGTCAAGCTATGTGAGCGATGGTGCACACGGTCCCACCCTGCAAAGTTGGATACGGCATTTCGTTTACATCTTCATCAGGTTGGGACTAAGGATTTGATATTGAAGAAAATGTGGATCGATTTCGTAATAATTGGGGACGGGTTACAGGATGACGCCCTCGAAGTTTCGCACCGATGCCTTTAAATGGACGAAATCATCAGTATTTTTCTTAATTATAATGATTATAGGTCGATTGGAACTAAACTCTGCACATGGATAGAACTATCCGAACTGAGTCTTCAGACGGACAGACGGTCATTTTAATACAAATTTTGTAAAAGCGAATAAAATTATTTATTACCTTTTCAACGTAAGAACTGTCAGTAAGAAGTTTCACTTCAAATATGCGCACATCTATGATGCGCACATAGTGCACACACAATTTTTTTTAAATATTAATCTTCTATTATACTAATTTTATGTATTAGTGGTAAAATAAACTAGCTTTTCATGCCGTCTTCATAGTTATGAAGACCGTATACCTGTGTTTATAATAGTAGGGTTCAATATTTAGACTCGAATAAAAGTCCTAAACAAACATTGCAAACATCCTGAGCATAAAATGCAAGCGATTAGAACACAGATATGGACTTAAGTCTATATCTCTGGATTAGAAAGTTCTCTCCAAAAAAATATCGTTACTGTGTTACGTAAAATTTGTATCTAGTTCATTGAAATGAAGGAATTCACTAAATGAAATCTACTAATTCGATTCACTAAAAAGAATCGTAATGCCCATCACTACTCCCTAGAACTAGAGACTTTATAATATTCAATATTCAAATGTGAAGTTGGCAACCATATCAAAATACCAAATGTCAACGGGGGTCACGGCCGGCGCGCTACCTGTCGGTGAATCAGTAAAAGAAAAAAAAAAGTTTCAGAAGTAATGTGGTTTTAATTTCTTTTTTCAATTTTATTCCAATAACAGTATTTAAATAGTTAATTTTCCGGATTAATAAATTATTTAAGATGCCTACGATAGCCGTAAAAAGAGATCTCCTCTTTCGATATTTAGAAAAAACCTACAGTAAGTTGTTTTTATCTTTTAGGTTAGACTTTTAAATTCCGTTTGGTTTTTTAGCCGATGAAGAGTTTCAGAAAGTATGCTTTGAATTCGGCCTGGAATTAGACGATATCGTACGTATCTAACGCTAATTTAATTCATACTATAGAGATTTTTTCTTTCAGACCACCGAGAGACAAATGATCGCCAGAGAACAAGGCGACGAATCGAGATCAGTCGAGGGGGCCTCGGAAGAGATAATTTATAGAATAGATATACCAGCAAACAGGTACGATCTACTTTGCATAGAAGGACTGGTATTAGGCATTAAAATCTTCCAGGGAAGGTATGTTTTCTCCGTGAATTTGAATGCACGGCATCAGCAAGTTAATTTTGTTATTTCCTTTAGTTTGAATGCTCCAGTTTTTCGGACAGTGAGTTCCGGAATAAACGTTCCCTTAAAAATAAATGTCGATCCTTCTGTGGCTAATGTTAGACCTTATATAGTTGGTGCTATTCTTAGGAACATTACTTTCACGTGCGATTCTTATATGAGCTTTATCGATTTACAAGATAAGTTGCATCAAAATATCTGTCGAAAAAGGAGTTTGGTAGCCATAGGTCTGTATATAATTACCCAGGGAATATTTGTGGACATTCAGGATGATGTGTTGGAACGTTCCCTTATAAGAGCATGTATGAGCACTAACGAGCATATTTAAGCACAAACAAGATTCTTTACTTTTGAATTTAAATAACAAATCTTTTTACAAAAATAGTATTTTCACTAATAGTTATTACAGTTGAGGGTTGGAACCTTTGGTGTTACACAGCAAAATAAAACACTAAATCACCACAATACACCAAAACACTTTTACTTTTACACTGGACGCGCGTTTCGCTAACCATGTTAGCATCATCAGCAGATGATTATTTAGTTGGATGATTATAAACTAGTTTATAATCATCTGCTGATGATGCTAACATGGTCAGCGAAACGCGCGTCCAGTGTAAAAGTGTTTTGGTGTATTGTGGTGATTTAGGGTTTTATTGTATATTTGTTCTCAATTTTTTCATATTTGTGTTCTGAATGTTCTTGAAATTTTCATTTTCCTTGAAAATAATAAGAAAATAAAAGAAAATTCAGATTAAAACTTGGAAAAGTAACTGATTATATTCCAATCTATGTTCTTTTTTCAATTATTTTTGCTCAAATCTGCTTGTCTAGTCTTGTTCGTCCTAGGGGAACGCTCTCCAAAAATAAATTCATGAGCACTTTACAATAGCCTTGATCATTTTGAGTAATTTTGGAAAAATATTATAGGAACTCATGATTACGATACTATTCAAGGGCCATTTACTTACGAGGCTAAGGCACCACAAGATATTAAATTTGTTCCTTTAAATGAGGCTCAGGAATATACAGCTGAAGGATTAATGACCTTATATGCAGTAAGTTATAAGAAAACGTTTGCTGGTGTTTTGTTTACAACTTTGTTTTAGAATCACGCACAATTAAAGCAGTATTTACCAATAATTAAGGATCAAGCTTTATATCCTGTGATCACAGACTTCAATGGAGTAGTATTGTCGTTACCTCCTATAATTAACTCTGATAATTCAAAAATAACTTTAAATACTAAAAATGTTTTTATAGAATGTACTGCTACAGATTTAACAAAGGTACGCATTTGATATATAGGGTGATTCACGGCGATGGCACGTTAAACGTTTATGGAGAACCGGAGATAGATTTTTGTTTGAAAATTTTTACGTAAAGGCACCTGTTCCATCTATCTAAAATATTTTCTTATAGCATCTTTCTTATTTTAAATGGAACACCCTGTATATTATTACATTTTTGAAAACTACTTTGATATCTCATAGTTTTTCTATTATACTAACCTATATCTATCTCTAATAGTTTTTGAGGTAAAAAATAAAACATGCGTAAAATTGACAAAAACATGATCGTGAATAACTATTGGTAAAATTATGAACTGAACATTTTTAAAGTTGATATTTGGGTTATAAGTTAACGTAAATCGTTATATTCGATCTATCTAAATTAACTGATTGGATATTACACAGTGCGTGAGCAAAAATATTATTTATATCCGTTTGTTATCAAATTGCTCAAACCTTTGTTATTTTAAATTCAACCCTATGTATATTATTTAAAAAAACAAAACACTAAAAAATTGTTTTTAAACGACATATATCATGTTCCTATACCTAAACATGGTTTCTTAACTACAGCTATTTAAAAATTGGAAATTCTATTAATTTCATTTCAAGAATTTTGTTACCATGATAATTTCAGAAATTTAGCAAGTCTGATCAGTCCATAAGCGTCTAACGTACCATGGCTGTGAATCACCCTGTAGTCCATCAAAAAAAATATATTATACATAAAAAAATCAAACAAGACAAATCGAAAATAGTTAAAATATTTTGTGTATTTATAAAAATTGGCACATGTACAGGGTGGCGCCTCTCATACGCCGCGGAAGCTCCAAGGAGAACGGTAGTTTATATCGAAATTAAATTTTGGCAGCATATGTAGATTAACTGAAAGCATTTTTTAAAAATATTTAGAATTATACAGTGTGTCCCCCAAAAAAGTTACACATCAAAGTTGTGTTTTTTCTAATGGAACACCCTCTATATTAATTAATTTTCGGATTCTAGGAATGAAATAAGGGTGAGTTTTACTAAAGAAGCATATACCTAAAATTTAAGGATTTTGACATATTTCACATTTTGTGAAAATGAAGAGTAAATTTTAAATTTCGATAACAGCTACCTAAATTTTAGTTGCCCTTTTATTGCCTGATATTTAATTACAGTAGCCATTGTATGTTAAACCAATTGAAATTTGACCCGAAAAGTTATACAGGGTGAGACAAAATTAATATGGAACATTAGTCACTTTTAAAAGCAAGTTACTCCTATATTTTAAATGGAACACTCAGTATATTTTCCGCTGTTCTATGGGGAATTTATATATCTTCAAAATATTATTAAGGTTGCCTACCCCTCAGACAAATATTTTTCTAGATATTTTAATTTTTATGATTTTGCGTCAGTAAATCTTAATTATTTGAAAAAATCTAGGGTATACCTTTTGTTAATTTAACAAAAATTAAAGATTCTAGAGTAAAATACTCAACGGCAATAAAAATATACACGTTTAAAACATATTTTAATTATTACAGAATTAAAACTAGATATAAATCTATAATTATGTGACAAAAATTAGCTAGATTAGATCATATGCTGAAAATGCTTTTTTTTTCTGTTAACTGCATAAAATGATTGTTTTTTAAAAAGGATCTTTTTATTTTAAAAGGCATATGTGGAGTTCTACCTTGAAAAACAGCTACAATAATTTCTCTGATGTTGTCGACAATAGTTGGTCAAGTTTTGTAAACACTGTCTATAACATATCCTCATAAAAAAAAACCCAGACTAGATAAAATCAGGAGCATTTAAGTATTCTATTAATTTGTGAATGCACACTGCATTCACCAACTAATAGAATCATATCAATTCTCTCTGATGTAGGATAAGTTTGCATTTTCGGGAAATTTCTGACAATTTTTTTTGTTTTCACTGACACAAAATGATAATTAGTTAAAATAAAAATAAAAACACTAAATCACCACAATACACCAAAACACTTTTACTTTTACACTGGACGCGCGTTTCGCTAACCATGTTAGCATCATCAGCAGATGATCAAGGGATAACTCTATCAAACGGTATTGAAAAATATTTTGTTGTATCTTTTGTAGGCAACCTTAATAGTATTTTGAAGAGACATGAATTCCCCATTGAATATCGGAATAATATACTGGGTGTTCCGTTTAAAATAAAAGAGTAACATGCTTTTAAAGGTGTCCAATGTTCAATATTAATTTTCTCACCCTGTATAACTTTTTGGATCAAGTTTTAATTTTATTTAAAGTGCAATAGTTAATTTAACTACATATTAGGGTAAATTCCAATTTAGGTAGCTTTTATTGTAATTTAAAAATTGTTCTTTATTTCTAGAAAATGTTAATTATGTCAAAAACTTTTTTCTCAACTCACCTTTATTTTTCTCCCAGAATCCGAAAATCAATTAATATATAGGGTGTTCCATTATAAAAAACACAACTTTGATATGTAACTTTTTTTGGGGACACCCTGTTGAACTCTCTATATTTTTAAAAAGTGCTCTGAATTAACCTACATATGCTCACAAAATTTCATTTCCATACAAACTATCGTTCTCCTTGGAGCCTCCGCGGCGTATGAGAGGCGCCACCCTGTATGTGAAAATTGAATTCTAAACAACATTCCTCTTGACGTATTATATTTAATCATGTACCTGAAGCATTTTAAAAACTTTTTAGTCTACACTATAGCTGAGATAGATGTCTGCCATTCTAATAATTGAGAAATATGTATTTTTTTCTTTTGCTTTGTTGAATATTGTCTGTCAAAATAGTAGATATATTCTCTTGCTGGATAGACTTTAGTTATTTATGCAACAATATTCTAATTGATTACTTCGAAAATTTAGGCAAAAATTGTACTGGATACTATAGTATGTATGTTCAGTGGATATTGCTCAGACAAATATTCAGCTGAAAATGTAGAGGTTTGTTATCCAGACCAAAGAGCTTTACTATATCCGGAATTGGCGTACAGAAAAAAGAAAGTATCTGCGAAAAGAGCAAACGGAGTTGTTGGCATAAAGTATGAAAACCGATATTTATTTTTCGAAAATATATTAATTTATTTACCTCGTCTTTAGAGAATCTGAAGAGAATATCATTGCATTACTGTCAAAAATGTCTTTAACATGTGAAACTAAAGAAGGAGCTATTGAGGTTACAATACCACCAACGAGACATGATATTTTACATGTTTGTGATATTTATGAAGATGTAGCAATTTCTTATGGATACAACAAGATTAAGAAGTAGGTAGTGGGCATGAAAAAATTAAAATATACACAGACACTTGACTTTATTCAAAAATGTTCATTGTTTTGAGTTGCCTATACCAGAGTAAGTAAACCGACGAGTAGCGACAGCCCCGTTTTCAGTTTTCTTTGCGGCTGCGCGAAATAAGTAGGTTATCTGTGATATGAAAACGCGAAGTTGCCACTGTTGCCATTTATCAAATATCTCTATATACTTTATTTCAAGTATATCTCAGGCAACGAGTCGTTTTTTTAATTATTTATTAGCTGTAAGATATTTTATACATTCAAATTTAGAAATAAGGATAAAACAAAACAAAAAAAAAATATGTATAAAACTTTATATTTAATTCCACTTCAAATTATGAGCAGTGTATACCATGTTTATAGGACCACTTCATAAGTTGAGCAGTTAAATACGTAGTCTATCTGTCAAACACGCCAAAAGAGAGAGAAAGAAAATTTGGTCCCACCACATCAAAAGAGCCGACGGTTTCTGTCTCTACTCGGCGATTTACTTACTCTGCCTATACTTAAATTCAAAGTTAATATTACAGTTGCACATTACTAAAATGCTATTTCCTAAAGGCATATGAATGCATATGAATAATTAACAGATCATAAAAGTCTCAGAATACCTTAGCTTGAAGTGACCAGAGGCCAGTAGAATTCATATCTCTTTAAAATACTGTTAAAGTTGTGTTAAGCCCTTAGGCAAAGATTTTCTTAGATATTTTAATTTTTATGATTTTGCCTCAGTAGATCTTTATTATTTAATAAAATCTAGGTGGCTATGATATACCTTTTGTTAATTTAACAAAAATTTAAGGATTTAGAGTTTAGAGTAAAATATTTGACAGTAATAAAAAGATACAGGGTTAAAACATATTTTAATTATTACTGAATTAAAACTAGATATTAACGTATAATTATGTGACAAAAATTAGTTAGATTAAATCAAATGTTCAAATTGCTTCGTTTTCTATTCACTGCTTGCTTAAAATGTCAAAAGTCATTTCAATAGATCGTTTCATGTTAAGATGCATATGTATGTGGAGTTATAGTTCTAAAAGCAGATACAATCCTTTCTATCATGTTTTCGACAGTAGTTGGTTGAGTTTTGTAAACACTGTCTTTAATATATCCCAGTAAAGGAAGTCCAGATTGGACAAATCAAGAGCATTTAAGCATTCTATTAATTGGTGAATGCACACTGCCAGTCACCAATTATTAGAATCATATCAATTCTCTCTGATGTAGGATAAGTTTTTTTGTCTTAATTGAGACAGTTGTTAATGATACCTAGTTGTTAAAGCTGAACTAATTTGATAGCTACATATGTTGAAGTAACGTCGGGTATGTCACAGCCACCTAGATTTTTTCAAATAATAAAGATCTACTCACACAAAATCACAAAAATGAAAATATGTAGGAAAATTTTTGTTTGAAAGATAGGCAACCTTGACAGTTTTTTGAAAAGACATGAATTTCCCATTGAATAACGGAATAATGTACTAGATGTTCCATGTAAAATAAAAGAGTAACTTGTCTTGTTCAATATTCATTTTGTGTCACCATGTACAACTTTTTGAATTAACTTTTAATTTAATTTAACAGACAATAGTTAAATTAACTACATATTAGGCTATACCTGGGAAATTTCAATGTAGGTAGTTTTTATTGAAATTTAAAAATTATTCTTCATTTTTAGAAAATGTTAAATTTGTCAAAAACCTTACATTTTGGGCATATACTTCTCTAATGAAACTCACCTTTATTTTTCTCCTAGAACCTGAAAATCAATTAATTCTTAGGGTGTTTCATTACAAAAAACGCAACTTTGAGGTGTAACCTTTTTTGGAGACACCCTGGAGATCTATATATTTTTATAAAACTGGATTTTCTATTTAAAATATTTAGTATTTATTATGTTCAATTTAATAGAACTTTACCAAAAACTAACACCATTGGGGAACAGTTACCTATCAATAAGCTATCCGATCTTCTAAGATATTCTATAGCAGAAGCTGGATTTACAGAAGCACTCACCTTCACACTGGTAAAAACCACGACTCCAGGATAAAGCTTGATTTTCGTGCGTCCATTATCCGTCGATACGATGGTCCAACGGCGCTATTCGCTCGAAACCATATATTTTTTACTCCAGCCCGTCAACGGCGAAAGATCGTATGATAACCGACGTTTTGATACTTTTTTGACAAGCTTAATCTAATCTTAACAAAAATATAATAGTACAAGAGCTAGCAACGTCGGGAAAACGAGAATTTTAAGAAACCTGGTTATATCTTTGAATAAGAAGACTAAGGAAGGAGCATATCAAAAATCTTAGGTCCACCGTGATGGGACTCAAATATGGCCGACTTAAAATTCCAGTTTATCAGTGCCGTTCTAATTTTATTTAAAAAATGTAAAACTATGATGTAGGGTAGACGTGGGGTAGACTCAATAATTTTCTTTTTATTTTACGTTGTGAATAAATGTTGGTAGTTATTAAAATTGTTATAAAAACATATTATTATAATAAAAATATATAAGTTTTAATAATTTTTATTAACGCAAACATCCGATAGGCTACTGAATCAGGTAAGTCAAATTGACGTATCTAAATTCTTTGACATCTAATCTTTGACAAGTAGTAAATGAAAGCAAAAATGCAAGAAAAAATATATAATTAGTTAATTAAAGCGAATTTCATAAATGATCGGTTTACTACACGTATGTATATTATATAGTCACTTACTAGCGAAAAGTTGTTCCATTATTTCACTCGATTTTTGCCGAGAACTACCGCACGCTACACAACCAACTATTTTAGAGTATTTTTCGATAAATCGCGATACTGTCACTGTTAATTTAAGTTCTGCCACAATTTCCATCTAGATTTACTACCTTTATACAACTATCAGTAGTAGAATAAATAATAAATAACATAAAATAAGCTCCGTAAAGACTGACAAATCCACAAAATTTCAAATCAAATTCAAATGTGTCAAATGAATCGTCAAACAGAACTGTCAAGGATCCCCACCCTAGAGTCCTTTTTCCGCCCACCATGCATGAATACATGGATAGCATTATGCTCCTTCCTTAGTCTTCTTATTCAAAGGGCTATATTAATATATCTTTTGCTATGCTCTCCTGATTAAAGTGCGGGCCGTCTGGCTGCCGGTAGACTACTGCGCATCACATCTATACAGGGTATTCCATTTTCGTGTGTTTTATGGGATTTCTCGTTTATGAATAGAGATACAATGATGCGATTTTCACATTACTTTGCTACTTTTTTATGAAACTAAATATGCTACACATAGGTTTGTCCTAGCCTCCTTAGTTCCTGAAATACAGGGCGAATTTGTGATGCGCTGTGATGAACAGATGTTCAATACAGATATGATGCGCAGTAGTGAACCCAACGTCTACCGGCAGCCAGACGGTCCGCACACTGTTCAGGAGAGCATAGCAAAAGATATATTAAAGAACCAGCTTTCTTAAAATTCTCTCTCGAAAACGTTGCTAGCTCTTAGACTATAAGTAAAACACCGAAATTTTGTTATGGAAATGAAAATATAAAATGGTACCAATCACAAGCAAATCGTATATCCGATGAACGGAGGCATGAAAAGTAGTGATGGGAAAAACCGATTAATTTCAATAATCGAGTACTCGAGTATCAAGCGATTGCAATAACCGAGTGATCACTCGAGCGATATATCACTCGTATTTAAAAATACAGTTTTTACCCGTCGCATGTTATAAGTACTCGTTAACGCCAAGCGCCAAGCAGTAAGTTGCGTGCGCAGGGCACATATTCTTTCGGTGATGAACGGCAAGTAGTAAGCAGCGAGCGATTCGCTTGATTTAGTAATTTTAATTTATTTCGAAGCATTGCCGATGTAGGTCGTAAAATTTTGTCCCTCAGATACGCAACGGATAAATATACCGGGTGCGTCTCAAAAGTGGCTCACCCCTATAACTTTTTAATTTTACCAGATGAAACAACGAGATTTGGTATGTTAGTATATGACATAAATTAGGATTGGTTGACATATTCAATTGTTTTCGGTCACTTTCGGTTTCACCGGAAATGACTACAACTTATGATTTTTAAATGGCACCCTCGGTATTTTTTTACTTTATTCGGTAGAAAATGACACTCTGAATAGAATGACATATCACATGTCAACTTTTGACATTTTCGCATATGGTTTATTTGAAATTGTAACATGCGGTTCATAACGATAATTTGACTCGAAGTGTGTGGTATCAAATTATTCGTAAAAAAAATTCTTTTTCAAAATATGCTAATGAGCCACCCTCGTTCCATTTAAAAAAAAATCAGATATGATCAAAAATACGATTTGGGCATCTTTTAACCGGCCAGGGCAACTCACTGAAAACATTAGACGATGAAATCTATTTTTCCAAGGCTCTTTGATTAAAAATTAGTGTTTTTAACACAGACATGGCACTCTAGATTGAGATTTAAAATACAATTTGTTTTTGAGCGAATATGTTAAAAGTTGACATATGATACGTCATTCTATTTAGAATGTCATTTTCTATCGAATAAAGTAAAAAAATACCGAGGGTGCCATTTAAAAATCGAAAATTGTAGTCATTTCCGGTGAAACAGGAAGTGACAGAAAACAATTGAATACGTCAATCAGTCCAAATTTATGTCATATACTAGCATACCAAATCTCAGTTTTTTATCTAAAAAAAAAGTTATAGGGATGAGCCACTTTTGAGACGCACCCGGTATATACGGCGTCGTATAAATTTGCTACCTGCAATGTATGTAGAAAATTCGCTCGGCTTTTTATCGAGTATGTCACATTAAAATCGGATTTCAATTTATTTCATTCTAGGATCGCTTGCGTTCGTCGCTTGGTACTCTTCACTTGCATCGCTCGTTCATAATCGAGCGATGTCGGTTATCTCAATAATCGAGTACTCGAGCGAATTTTCGCTCGAGTTATCCCATCACTAATGAAAAGGCAATAAATTTAAATACTGCGTAATTTTCTAACCAATCGAAGTCTTTAAATTCAGCCAATAAAATTAATATCGTATCGTCGGATAACGGATGCGTGTCAATCAAGCTTAACTCGTTCCATTTCTATTACAATCTAAATGGATATTTTAGTGCTCTAAAAGTGACATATCGACAAAGTTGGGCGTGAAAACGATAAACGACGTTCCAGCCGTTCACATTTCTTTACCGAAAACTCTGGAATTTGAAGTGTGTCGCACCACATTGTTGCCAGGTATCTTAAAAACGGTTTCGGCCAATAGGAAAATGCCGCTACCAATTAAACTGTTTGAAATATCAGATGTCGTCATTAAGGAAGCTCGTACAGGTATGGATATTTTTTATTGTTTATTTTATATTGTCTGTTTTACACAATTTTATTTGTTATAACGTGTCAAAGCGTACTTGGACCAAGTCAACCGGATGCTATAGTCTATAAAATGAATAACTTTGAATTTTGACCGTTATTTTTTACCAACATGGCAAATATAAAATCCCTCTGTCAAAAAAGTTACTGATATTCTTTAAATTGAGTGCCTGAACGAATCAGATAGGTAACTCTTTTTACTTTCGTATAATAGAAAAGGAAAATAATAAAACAAGTGACAGTTCTTACGAGTGACAGTTCTTACCTCTTCTTGCAAAAATCAACATAATTGTCAAAAGTAAAATGTCATCAGCTTTTGACATTTCTAAATATCAGACCAATGCCGTCTCTAATAGAACAGCCACTGTGCGAGATTTATGACGTCACGCTAGTTAGATACTACGGATTAATAAATATGTTGTAAAATACATGGAAAACATAATAATTCCTCGTATTTTTGGTTTGTATTTTAAAAATGATATAGTTTACATGAAATATACATAATATACAGTTAATAAATACAATATATATATATACCTATTTATAGTAATAAATACTTTGGCAAATAAACTATGAACCATACAAATGTAGCAAATGTTTTGCAATATACAAATAATGAATAAGGTACATAAGATAATGGGTAAAATGTAAAATATATTTTAAATTTTGGGGTTTGAAAATCGATCTAATTTAACAAAAAACATTCAATATCTACTAATAGTGATGTATTATTATTTGCATTCACAAAATGTATATGTATATTTTGCAAGTATCAATGTTCGAAATATTATATTTGCAAATAATACACAATATCATAGAAAAAAAGGCGTCAGCGATGGCTATGAAATAAAAATTGCTGTGATTTAGGTTCGGGAAAAACTCTGATTAAGTTTTAATTTAAAACTCTTTTAAACTCTGATTAAGTTATTAATTCATTTGTTTTTCATCATTTTTTTGGTTTAAAAAAACGTGGGTTAAAATTATTCTAAAATTTTTTATTTTCTTGGGATTTAGGTTCGGGAAAAACTCTGATTAAGTTTTCATTGTTTTCAAAATATTCACACCACACACCACATAATGTTTACTGTAATTAATAAACTAATATAAACTTGTCAAAAGATGACCACGTATTTTTTAAAAGTATTATTCACACTAAAACTATCTACATTGACTATGGAGTACGATTTCAGTCATAGTAAGTAGTAGACATTGAGTGTTGTTTGTTAAATTAGATCGATTTTCAAACCCTAAAATTTAAAATATATTTTACATTTTACCCACTATCTTATGTACCTATTCATTATTTGTATATTGTAAAACATTTGCTGCATTTGTATGGTTCATAGTTTATTTACGAAAGTATTTATTACTATAAATAGGTATATTATTAACTGTATATTATGTATATTTCATGTAAACTATATCATTTTTAAAATACAAACAAAAATACGAGGAATTATTATGTTTTCCATGTATTCTACAACATATTTATTAATCCGTAGTATCTAACTAGCGTGACGTCATAAATCTCGCTCCGAGGCTGTTCTATTAGAGACGGCATTGCGTCAGCATGGCCGCAAGTTGCTAACCTCGTAAAATTAACACTAGAAAAACCAGCGAGAACTGTCAAATTCAAAGTTATTCGTTTCACAGACTATACCTATATGTCGCAGGCGTATCGAATAACTCGGCATTTTGCAAAAAGACTAGGCATATTATAAAACGCCGGCGTTTCTAACAAAAGAAGGATATTTTACAAAGAGCCTATTTGTTTTCAGTCGTTTTGCAAATTGCCTAATAAAGACTAGTCAGATTGCACAAAACATTTTACGTGTGATGAACTAACCTAAATTTATCCAAGGACATTTCTTGTACTTCTCTTTCAAAATTTGGAAATAATGGCATAAAAAGTGATAATTCTGTTAAATAGAGTATGGTTGAGGATGATTATTATAAAGATCTAAATTCATTTTATTCTAAAAGTAAGCAAAGGTCCACAAAGAAGCAGCCCTGTACACAGAATCGAATTACAGAGTATAATAATTAAATGAGATATCAATATATCGTTTTGTACCAAGTACACAGTCGCGGAGGGGACCCGAGGCGAGTGTGTACTTGGGGCTCTCGTCTTGCCCCGGTGGCTCTCGCCTCGTCTTGGGAGCGCTCGGTCTAGAGGCGGTCTCCAGCACGAGTCAAAGGAGACGAGAGCCACAGAGAAACTAAATAAAAGAGAGACACAATAGATTTTATATTTATCTATGGCGAAAGCGTTAAGTAGGAGGTCCCGCGAAAATATACACGGTGCTCTCGGGAGATCGGCATTTCTTAGTTCGTCTTCTCAACTGCCGTTGAGTTGACGCCTATTTTCGGTATTTAATTTGTTAAAATATAAATATATAATTAATACAGTGGATAAACGATTTTAGTCAAAGTACCGAAGAGAACTGTAGAAAAAAAAAGATTCTTTAATGGTCACTTTCCGGGCCGTATATGACTGCCAACTTAATATAAACATTCATTAGTTTCTATAAGTATCTACGTTTATTTTAATAATTGAGAGAAGCGATCAAACAAAACGAATCCATTTTGAGATATTAGCAAAAAACATGTCGTTATTGGTATAAACGTGTCGTTATTGCGTCTTATTAAACAAACAAAATTATAATGTACATGAAAGACATTATGATACAGACTTTCTAGACACTGTTTTCGCTTTTTTGTCATTATTAACATAAGAATTATTACTCTAATTACAAAATTATTGATTAATCTCTTTTATCCTCAGTTAAAAATAAAGATTTATTTTTTATAATGTAAAATAGTTTGTTTTAATATTATTAGGTAAAATAGCAATTATTTCAGCGTGTTTATTAGATGATATTAAAAAATATGTGTTAATTGCCATACGAATTCAATGGGATTTAATACTTGCCAGACGCGAATAAAGATTTTAAATGAGCGCGATAAGAAAGTCTTATGAGTATCTATAAGCGCGAGAAAGATAGTTTATTGAGACCCGGTCGGCAGCCGATGTGGCTGACGTAACAGCATTTTGGAGTCGTAAAAACTTAAAAAAAACTAACTAATATTGGATAAATAAAAAGAAACATTTTTTTAGTAAAAATGTATGATTGAAATCCTTTCAGTAAGAAGACTTTTTAATTTAAGTATTTTGTATCTGAAAGAATAAAAAGACGAATAATTATTTAAAAATTAGCATAATATAAAATATATTTTTTCAAACGTCAGGAAAGTATAATTATTATTATACTTTTGTGACATATTATATTATTATTAATTTTTGCGACCTGATTAACAATGTAAAAAAGTCATTTTAACGCCTAAGCATAAAAGTAAAGCACTTTTACTTACTTTTGAATCTATTTAGAAAGATTAACAACGGTACATTAATAAAATTCCAGAATACTTATTTTTTTAGCACTGTACATGGTACCCTTTTGACGGGACTACGTTTTCTCGTAAAACCACTTCTTTAAATTTTAAACCATGTTGTTGGCGCACTTTTAAAAATTCTTTGCATTTTTGTAGTCTGCCTTCATCCAAAACAATAACTTTGTCACTAGTAACTTTTTTACAAACTACACAACTTAAATGTTTTTATCCATTGTGATTTAGTAGTTAGTAGCGAAATTAGTAGTTACTAAAATATTTATTTGCAGTAATTATTCTAAACTATTTACACTATGCACATCAATATTTAATTTATAAATACATATTTGTACATGGTAACTTAATTCCATCAGAATAATCTCTGAATTAAAAGCCTGCAAATAATTGAAATGAAACCGAAAAAAAATTGTTTTTATGAAAATTTCTCCAAAATACTATTACGTCAGCCGCATCGGCTGCCGACGGGTCTCAATAAACTATCTTTCTCGCGCTTATAGATACTCATAAGACTTTTTTGTCGCGCTCATTTAAAATCTTTTTTCGCGTCTGGCAAGTATTAAATCCCATTGAATTCGTCTGGCAATTAAGACATATTTTTTAATATCATCTAATAAACTCGCTGTAAAAATTTTAGAATGCCTAAAGTATGTTTTCCAGGTATAATAATTAAACATATTTGGAATGGTCTGGTTACACTTTAAACCCGAAAAAAAAGTCTGGCACACTTATTTCTAGGTTAAATAGATGCTAAAATTTAAGAATAAACAAATTTCAAGTTGCCTAAAGAATGTTTTTTGGATTTATTTTTTTGCAAATGTTATGGCTTGCGCAGTAGCGAAATACCCCCAACCCCCCAGCTAGACTTAGGATTCTGGGTTCACAAGTTATTAAACTTTATTTTTTTTGTTATTCTAACTTGCCTAAAATATGTTCTCTAAATACATATGTCGCCAGCTCTCCGGCTATGTCCTTCCAGCATTAGAAAACAAATAATTTCCTCTAAAATTACGCTGGGGAACGTTAAAAAAAATACAAACCACTAAAGTGACCATCAATTATGGCCACTTTACTTCCGTGGTTTGTATTTTAGTGCCCATAAGACAGAGATAAATATACAGGGTGTCCTAGAGATAAATACGTTAAGTTGTCCTTGTTTAAAGTACCCAGGATACGCATGGACGAAAAAACTGTCTCGCACAAGCCGTGGTTCACGGCGGAGCTTAACGAATTGTACCAATTGAAAGAGAAGGCCCTGCAAAAATACGCCGCCAGTTTTAAAACATCGGATGATCGTTGCGAATACCACAAAGCTGTGAAGGCTTTTCACACCGGCAAACAAGCCGCAAAGAAATCGTATCAGGAACTTTTGAGATCATATGAATATCGTAGTAAGCCATACTATAATTGGTCACTTTATTTCCGTGGTTTGTATTTTAATGCCAATAAGACAGAGATATATACAGGGTATATATGTACCCTGTATATATAATATACAGGGTGTCCCAGAAATAAGTGCAGGTATTTTAAGGGGTGGTAGATCCGGCCAAAAGAAACATTTTTATTTTATTTTTGAAATAAATTGTTAATAACCGAGTTATTTAACTTTGAAAATTTTAAAAAATAATGGCAGCATTTTGAGAGCCGCCTCCAGCAATCGATAGAAATCAGTCGCTAATTACCTCGAAATTACAATCAATATTATACATATACAGGGTGCTACAAATTCGAGGTACGAACATTGGTATTTCGGTAACCGTAATAGATACGAACATGCTTAAATTGGGGCAAAGTTGCGCTTTGTAATCTTCACCAAGATGCCATCAAAAAAGTTGTAAAAATTTCAAGGATTGCTGAGTTTTTTGGAAAAACCGGATTTTTTTGAAAACCAATTTTATCTTTTCCTGTCGTTACTTTTAAGAAAATCAAAAAACTAATTGCACATTTTCATAGCCACTTTATTAGGGCTATCTGATAGTATTTCTAGATTTTCAAATTAGCTGATAATTTGTGAGATACAGAGGCCAACTTAATTTGTTTAAATACGGACCTGCCTTTTTTATTTGAAGTTTTGAAAGAACTCGGTCTCCTGAGTACAATGATATGCCCCACTTGATACTTTTTTGTTTTAGGTACCTTAAGAATAACAAAACTATTTAATTACTATTTAAAATAATTTCCAGTCCGACTCTGTTTTTTTTTAAATTATTTAATCTGATTATATTCATTGCAACAATATGGATCAGCGCTAATTAACATTGAAGATTCAAATAAATAATACCCAGGTCAGCAATTTAAAAATATTATTTTTAATTTTTTTTTATTGTGAATTTGAAATCTCAGTGTACGATCTAATAATATGCATAATATTAATCGTAGTTATTATAAATAAATCAACTTTTACAAACTAGTTTCTAAAACTAGTAATGCTCTACATGTTCGAAAGGGTTACCACCGTCCCTAATGCTCAAATGTATTTTTCGTTCAATTTTATTTATAGCTCTTTGAACATATCTTCTTCTTATACTTCCGAATTCATTCTGTACTCTTTATTGTAAATATTGAAATGTATTGTCACTTGTTGTATTTTCACTTTTAAAAATGACGTCAAGTAATGCCTAACAATTTTATATTATTTTTTATTATTTTATTTTCGGTTTTCAATGTTTTACCCCACGTCATTGTTAAATTTGATAGCTTACCAATATTGTAACGATGAATAGATTAAATATCTAAAAAAACAGAGCCGGACTTGAAATTAGTTTAATTAAATTGTGTTCAAATGTCCGAAGCAAAAAAAAAATTAAGTGTGGCATATCATTGTACTTAGGAGACTGAGTTCTTTCAAAATCTGAAATAAAAAATGCAGGCCCGTATTTAAAAAAAATAAGTTGGTCTCTGTATCTCACAAAAACTTTTTTGATGGCATCTTGGTGAACATCCTAAAGCGCAACTTTGCCTCAACTTAACCATCTTCGTATCTCTTAGGGTTTCCGAGATACCGATGCTCGTACCTCGAATTTGTAGCACCCTGTATATACTATTATTACATATCAAAAGAAAAAAGTCAGTGGCGCACATGTTTTTTTTTGAAAAAATATTCCATTGATAACCCATATGCACGTCCCTGATGAATGTATCATTAATTGATCTTTTTTAACATTAAAATATATAGCACTTATAGTAACTTTTACCCTCAAAATTTCATTCGAAACGCTAAAAGTACTTGGAAGAAAATTATAATAAATCGAAAAAATATTAAAAATTTAACACCCTGTAGCCACGAAACAAAACAGAATCGGACCTATGTCGATGTGTTTTTTGAAACACCCTGTATAATTTAAATAACCTTTAATTAGAAATTCATTTTTCTCTTTTTACTACATTTAATTTTTCATTAAGCTGTCTCTATCACTGTCTGACACGTTAAAATCCAGACCATGGTTCTACGCTGACCCAATCTGTATAACTGTTTTCCTTTCAAATATTTTTTTAAATGATCCAATGGACCCCTTGCAAATATCGGGTTAAACTTAACTACACGCACCGGTTAAAATGTTCATGTATTAAAGTTCAATATACCAGACGTATAAATCAGGATCAGTTCCCGTATTCAATTGTTTTCGGTCACTTCCTGTTTCACCGGAAATGACTACAACTTTTGATTTTTAAATTACACCCTCGGTATTTTTCTACTTTATTTGATAAAAAATTACATTTTGAATAAAATGACATATCATATGTCAACTTCTGATATTTTCGCATATGGTTTATTTGAAATTGTACTTGAGACTAGCGATGGGAACTATCGAATGAATTAGACTATCGAATAGTTACTGAATGAATGATTTCAACTATCGAATGGTTTTATTCGAATAAAATCGTTCATTCATTTGTATACTAAAGCATATGTGACAACCTCGCCGTGCAACTAAATGGTTATCGTTGAGCCACGACTATCGAATGCTTTTGATAAATGAAATTTAGTATTCCTTTGATTTTTGTGTGCGTCAGTGCATTAGTTCTTCCAAATTTTTATAACTTCACCTTATAAATACTGTGCCAATTTTGGGTTTATTAAAATATTTAAAATACTAAAATAGTAGTTTTTTTTAATTGACGATTATGTGCGTGTGCAGGTGTCAAAATTTTTCCGAAAATTTGTGTGATTTTCCGTAGCCCGATCTTTCAATTATTTTATTTTATATGGTATATATGGTATATGGTCTATTTTTTAATGGGAAATTTTGAGAAGTAGCAATTTTTAAGAGAGATGAGATGAACTTAGAATTAATTTTAAAAATACATTTGTATTTTAGATGTTTAAATAATATGAATTAGTTGAACTTAATAATCATATTTAAGTAAATGGGGGGTTATCGAATTCAAACTATGGGGTGAGAAAATTAAATTGAAAGTTTTACACGTGCCAATTTAAAAAAAAAAGTTGACGATGTTTGTATTTTGTTTATGCTAATTCTCTTACGTGTAGTTTTTTGCGAAGAAATATTTTATTTATTTTTTAAAGTAAATGCCAGTAAAAGTAAATATTATTTTTAAATAGTAATATAAAGTACCTAATATAAATAATTTTGATTTCTAATTTTTTATTTATATTTTCCTTCCATTAAACTGCATGCTTAGAAAATTAATAAATGTTTATATTTCATGATTTTAAAGTTTGTTGTTAATATAACAAATTAGTTCTGTAATTATTATTATTTAATAAACCAACGTTGCCACACAAAATATTTAAAGACTATATTATTTTTAAATAGGATCTAATATAAATAATTTTGACATCTAATTTGTTGTTTATATTTAGCTACTACGTAAAAAAATGTTTATATTAAATTATTTTAAATTTTGTTGTTAATAGGTATAACAAATTATTACTGTTATTATTATTTTTATTAAACCAGTCTTTGCTTAAAAACATTAAAAATCATTTTCCTACATCCAAAATAACAAGTATTATTCCAGTGTAACAACAGAATATTAAAAAAAAAGGTGCAAAAAATATAGACATACTATCCCTAACTAACTAAAGCCAAATAATAATATTCTTTGCTAATATCAACTAATACCAATATATGGCAACAGCGCCCTTCATAATGTATTTTCTGTATAAATACCTTACTAACGTAAATACTAGCACCTCAATAAAAAAATAATGTGTCTTTATCTTTATATGACTCCGCAAAAAATCAAAGATGCCGGCTTCTTTCATAGCATTGCTACCGACCGCTGACCGTTAATATTTTATTATAATCGATCCTGACGAATAAATGAATTTCATAAATGAATGAATTTTATAAATGAATGGTTTTTGCTGTCGAATTACTAGAATACAATATTTCAAGGCAGATGACGCATCTATTCGATAATTTTTATTCGAATAGTTTTCAACGAATGTTTTTTTACTAGCTATCGAATTATTCGAATGAATTGCAACTATCGAATGTTTCGATAGTATTCATTCGATAATTCCCACTACTACTTGAGACCACTCCAAAGAAAATCATGTGTAATTTGAATGGAAAACAGCCGATTACAATATTTTTTGTCCGCCACTGGGAATGTTAGAATTATATGTTGGTGTAAAAATTATATGTTACTTCTTCGTCTTTGGATAGAGTACATTATTTATGTTATAGGTCTAGATAAGAGAGGCTAAACATAATTTAACTTTTGTTAGAATATTTTTTATTTTGGTTATTATTTTTTAGGTTACGTTTCTTTCTATTTTTGTTGGGTTTGTGGTCTTATGTAATCGGTCTTATGGTCTGAGATCTTATGTAACATTACATAAAATGATTTATGTAATGTTATATAATTATTTATGCAATGGAACATTACAGGCATAAAATAATAAATACATTTAATCTCGATTTTAATTTGTCTTATCATGTTTATATGTACTGGATAAATAAAATATCTTTTTAGGTTGACTTGAATAGTTTTTGACTTGAAAGTTTCAACAAGTCCAAATGAATTTGGAAATACTATATGTACTTATTTTTTTTGTACCCTAAAAAGTATTTTGGTTAATAACATTGCATTTTTATATTAACACTTTTACACACTTTTAGTTTTATTCTTATTTATTATGTTCCTTTCTAATATGAAATATATAGTTCAGTCATTGGGGATTTTTGCTTGGAAAAAAGTCCGGAAGTTTTGCAACTTTGCAGGTTTATTGGTTTTGGGGTCCCTAACTAAAATCCATAAAATGTACATTTCCAGACTTGTCGCCGGCGCCGCCATCTTGCCAAGATGGCGCCCAAAATTGGTATTTTGTGAATATCTCGAAAACTATGCGTTTTTCGCGAAAATGTGAGGAGAGCAAAATTAAAGAGAAATCAAAAAATTTCCTAGTTCTCGCTAAAGTCAACCGTTTAGGCACAAAGTCCCTGGAAATTTTACAATTTTGTGTAAAATTTGATATATTATGTATAGTCGATTTTCCGAAATGAAATGTCGATTAGGGTTCACTAAAACTAGTTCTAGTTTAGTTTCTTCAATTTTGTCATAAAACAGTGTTGGCTCATTAATTTATGAATAATTAATTTTAGTTATTGAAAATGTGTACTTGTTTCCACACCACCCAAGAGGTAAAGTATATAGCGCGTTTTTTTTAACGTGGTCTCCCCGGAGGCCTACTCCACTAGTTAAATTAAAAACTTTAAATTATCTGCACAAGTCCGACGGATCTGGCTCATTGATGTCAAAGTCGATCGTGTCTGCTGTGCTGGGCTCATCAGGGTGGCCTCTCAATACGTCCAACTCTTCATCTTCAGCCGCCAGAGGGATATCTACAGGCAAGTCCAACTCCTCTTCATCGGATTCGTCGAGTGACACTTCAGTGACGTTGTCACAGGATTTCCCATTGCAGTATGCACAAATCATTGAACATTTTAATCCTGCTTTTCTGCATCCGCAGGCTTTACCATAGTTGTTGGTTTTGCATTTACAGGATAAAAATGCCAACAGGGATTTTGGAGCTGGATTTTTCAACGTTGTGACTGGAGTAATGCCTGTTTTTGTTTTCTTCCAATCCCATTCTTCGGCATCTTTGGTACAACCAGACCAATGCTGAACCTGGTGGTAAGTTCGCAATAATGTAAGCACGACAACTAATTATTCATAAATTGATGAGCGAATTAATGATACGCCACTGTTTAATGACAAAATTGAAGAAACTAAACTAAAACTAGTTTTAGTGAACCCTAATCGACATTGGATTTCGGAAAATCGACTATACATAATATATCATATTTTACGCAAAATTGTAAAATTTCCAGGGATTTTGTGCCTAAACGGTTAACTTTAGCAAAAATTTACATAAAACCTTTTTCCTTCTTTAATTTTGCTCTCCTCAAATTTTCGCGAAAAACGCATAGTTTTCAAGATATTCGCAAAATACCGATTTTGGGCGCCATCTTAGCAAGATGGCGGCGCCGGCGGCATATCTGAAAATGTGCATTTTATGGATTTTAGTTAGGGACCCCAAAACCTATAAACCTGCAAAGTTTCAAAACTTCCGGACTTTTTTCGAAGCAGGCTCCTTTTTTGATCCCCAATGACTGAACTAATAGGGATTTCTATGATTAGATTGATTAGATGATATAGGGGAGTTCTTGAAAAAAATGAACTCTAAAGAGTTATCATTTTTTCTATAGACATAGAAATTTCTTTATAGAAATTTTAGTTGTATCTAAGTGTAAAAACCCATATATGTCATCTTAATATACTATAGTATAAAGAAAGGGCAAATAGTATGTAGGTATGTTAACTTTCAGGTGAATCAGCGGTAGAACAGATGCGATATTTCATTAAGAAATCTATCGATATAGACAAAACAGTACACCAGTGGTGGTTAAATGATTATAAACAATCTAAAGTATCCATGAAAGATGCAGAAATATCCGATAGGGACTTTTTTAGTAAAGTTATCAAAAGATCTCAAAATTCAGGGGAAATAATCATCTAAAGACTGTTCAGCCATCGTTCACCGTTACGTTATAATTATATGTCAAATATGAGTTTTACGGCGTGTCTGAGATCAGTTCATATTGTTTAGAGAATTTTAAGTACGTTCCTATATTATTGATTTAGCGAGTTCCGTTTTTTTCGGTATTTATTAATTTTTTGTTGAACTCTTCATCAGTTACGATCCCTTTAGTTCCAATCCTTTGGACTGTTGGAATTCCTATTTCTAAAGCATCAGCAACTCGCTATATTATTTAAAAGAGCTATCAATTTGTATTTTACATTGGTATATAACTACACCTTTGCATTGTACTGACTTCATATGCGGTGGTTCACGGGCAAGAGTGTTGTACCAGCGTCTCTTTCTCGAGAAAAATAATTTATAAGCTTAGCAACGAGCTCTTCTCCGTTTTGATTACATCTTTGAGGCATTTGTGCAATAAATAAATTGGAATTTTGTTTGACAGCAACAATCGATTTTTAATTTTGACCCCAAATCAAATGACAATGACAATTATTATTAAAAGGAGATTTTGACATTGGTCGATATCCGTCAATAAAATTATAATCCCACATTAAATGACAATGACAATTACTAAAATGAATATGCAGTAATTTACGAAATGCCGTAATGACGCCACCAATCTCTTTCATCTGGTTATCTAGCGATTGAGAGAGTTCTACAACATATTTCGTGACGTTGAACGATGGGTGAACATTCTATACATATCATTATTTTTTACAAATTTTATAATAATAAACAATAAAATTTGAGGTTGTATTAATAATATATATTGACTGCCGATTTAATATATGATTCGAAGCTCGTTACATTAAGGAAAAATGAACATTTTATATTAATAGCATAATAATTCTGCTTCAGGCGTAAAATTGTCATTTGTAATGGAATCTGTCTTGATCCATGGTACAAAGAATACAAGGTATGATATTGCGCAGGTTGGTCGCTACGTCACAGGTGATAACAGGCGCTATTGGTCAGCACGCTCCGCGCTCCAGTTCAAATCGTCAAGATATTGTTATAAACCTGTTGTTTTGATATACCGTCATTGAACTATCGCTAAGGGTTACGTTTCTTTCTATTTTTGTTGGGTTTGTGGTCTTATGTAATCGGTCTTATGGTCTGAGATCTTATGTAACATTACATAAAATGATTTATGTAATGTTATATAATTATTTATGCAATGGAACATTACAGGCATAAAATAATAAATACATTTAATCTCGATTTTAATTTGTCTTATCATGTTTATATGTACTGGATAAATAAAATATTTTTTTAGGTTGACTTGAATAGTTTTTGACTTGAAAGTTTCAACAAGTCCAAATGAATTTGGAAATACTATATGTACTTATTTTTTTTGTACCCTAAAAAGTATTTTGGTTAATAACATTGCATTTTTATATTAACACTTTTACACATTTTTAGTTTTATTCTTATTTATTATATTCCTTTCTAATATGAAATATATAGTTCTGTCATTGGGGATTTTTGCTTGGAAAAAAGTCCGGAAGTTTTGCAACTCTGCAGGTTTATTGGTTTTGGGGTCCCTAACTAAAATCCATAAAATGTACATTTCCAGACTTGCCGCCGGCGCCGCCATCTTGCCAAGATGGCGCCCAAAATTGGTATTTTGTGAATATCGCGAAAACTATGCGTTTTTCGCGAAAATGTGAGGAGAGCAAAATTAAAGAGAATTCAAAAAATTTCCTACCTCTCGCTAAAGTCAACCGTTTAGGCACAAAGTCCCTGGAAATTTTACAGTTTTGTGTAAAATTTGATATATTATGTATAGTCGATTTTCCGAAATGAAATGTCGATTAGGGTTCACTAAAACTAGTTTTAGTTTAGTTTCTTCAATTTTATCATAAAACAGTATTGGCATATCATAATTCGTTCATTAATTTATGAATAATTAATTTTAATTATTGAAAATGTGTACTTGTTTCCACACCACCCAAGAGGTAAAGTATATAGCGCGTTTTTTTTAACGTGGTCTCCCTGTTATTGTTTTTGTTTTGATGATTTATTATAATATTATTTAGAATATTCTTTTTCAAATTAATAATAACCATAATCAAACAGCATGAAAAATTAAAGCATGCTTTCCATTAATACTCAGTTAAGTTTATCCAACGAGGGGATACAAGGTAATTGTATTATCTTTTCATTCGTATTCCTATCATTTTTTGGTTGTCATCTGTCGAAATCTTCCCTGATTCATTGGATAGACTATAGCATGCTAATAGTTATGTCTTGGGTACACTTCAATTGGTGTTTCCAAAATAATTTTCTATTAATTATGTCCTTTTTAGAGGTGGGAGCTCGGAACGAGAGAAGAATTTGTGCAGTAAATTGCAACAAGAGTTCGGGATTCCAGATCGTGCATGGTCTTCTTGATAGAATCATGCTTCTTCTAGAGGTGCCATGGTCTCAAGACAGAACCGACACTGGTTATTACATAAAGGCAGCCGAAGGTAATCATTCATACCTGTTTTTTTATTAATTTCAACTCGTCAAATATAGACTGATACACAGGGTTGCGTAGGTAGAAAATTTTATATTTTCTAATGTATTTTCTACATTTTGTCTACATGTCCAGACGTAGAAAATTAGTTTTGTATATTGTAAGCCTTTTTTGAGTTTATACCAGGGGCGGCTCGTAGCAGTGGAAGATGGTGAGGCACATTAGAAGAGAATTTTTATTAGTATGTATATAAGGTGGCCATTAGTGCCATTAGTGCAGTTGAACATTAAAAAGAAGCTCTATATAAAAAAGTGCATATCCTAAAAAATATTTTCTTTAAAATTGCAATCGCATTACCATTTTTCTGTACAGAATTGGGTTCAGCATAAAATTCAGCATACATCACACTATTGATTTATTTGAAGCACGGGATTTATGCGGGATTTCCATAATAATTCATATTTGAAAAATTTCATTTTTTAAAAAGTGGTAAAAACCTGGAGTGAATGTAACTTATTGATATATTAATGCTTAAGTATGTATGTATATAGCGAGGTATGTAGGATAAAAGAAGAAATACGAGAAAAATTCACATTATTTTATACAGGGATTTTTTTATGGCGCCACCAACATTGCAATATTATAATGCTATATCTCAATTTTTTTAAATGCAATACACACTGTATATTATTTTTAGTATTTTAGATACCTACAGACTTAAAAAGCGCACATTTTTGTATTTAAAATATTTCTAAATTTTTAGCAGTTGCGGAAATAGCCTTAATTAAAAAATAAAATGTAAAGCGATAATAATAATAAAACGATATTAATAATCTAGATAATAACGTATTGCAGTAGAGTAATGTCAAATAAAATAATATTAGAAACATCCTAAAAAGTGACAGCGGCCGACTAGATTTTTTCCTAAAGAAATTACAGCAGCCGACTAGATTCTTTATCCAAAGATATTTTTTGTCCTGACATGTAATGCTTTACATTTTATTTTCTAATTTCAAATCGGTGAGTTTTATCAAAAAAACACAAGAGATAAAAAAGTTTCTAAACAATCTAAACTATCCAAATTAATTTTTTTGCATGTGTTTGATAAGATTTTTCTTTAAATTTCGTTAACAAGAATGATAGGGATAGTTTATTTCAACCCCTTCCACTCATTTTAAAAAAGTAAGAAAATTACCAGAAAGTGTGTTTTCATAACAGTAATGCTTCCATAAAATTTCATTAGTGTATCGCTTTTCGTTTTCAAGATAAAAAATAAAAACATTATTTTTCTGCCATCTTTGTAGCGCGATATCTCCCTAATGGTTGACTTTTGACCCAACGTTTATAAAGCCAAATACACTTTATTTTGAACAAGGAATCGACCCCTGAACGTTTTCGCATTTGTTTTGAAACACCCTGTATATTTACAGATAACAAAAAAATAACATCTAACTTAGTGAAAGTAAGAACTACAAACTACAATAATTATTATTATAATATAGTTTATCAAACCACAGACTTTCTATGGTAAAATTAAAAAAAAGAAACACCGAAAACTTTCAAAGAAAAAACATTTAGACTTTTTTGTACGGTCTTCAGATTAAACAGAAAAAGATATTCTAATAGTCTTCAGATCGATTACTGTCTCTTATATTCAGGGAGTAGTACCACATATATATAAATAAACCTCTAAAGTGAAATAAAGGCTTTAAATATACAAAATTAATTTTGTACCTGTTCTCAGATTTTATACATTTTCTACTTAATTTTCTACATTTTCTACGCACTTTTCTACATACACGTAGAAAATTAATTTTCTGCGCGTCGTTACCCAATCCTGATCACTGACCATCATCAAGTGTGAACTCTTGATAGCGGTCAGTGATACTTTGACCGAAACGTTGTGTAAGCAAAAATAAATAAGACAATGAAGTCCGAAATTCTTTTAGTTTTAACAGAAATTTTTGTTACAGATCCAGCGTATCTGACTGGGATGTGTGCTGATATTATTTATAATGGCGCTCGCATAGGCAAGATTGGAGTAATACATCCGACAGTTTTGGAGAAATTTGAAGTCACTAATCCATGCGCCGCTCTAGAATTCAATCTTGAACCGTTCCTTTAAGAAGGAACTTTTTTAAGTTTATATTGAGGCGAATTGCGATTACAAAATTCTAAATTTTGAAACTAATCTAATTGAAAAAGTTTTATGATCAAGCGTGACTTTAATATGATTGTTTGATTGATTGCATAACGTGGTAAACGTCAGATGCACTGGCACATAACCTAACCACCGTATAATCGAAAAAAAAACGGCGTCAGCGATGGCTATGAAATGAAGATCGCTGTGTCATTTTATATGTAAATTTATATGGGAAATGTCATCGATGTTCATTTCATAGCCATCGCTGATGCCGTTTTTATTCGATCGTGTGGTATAAACTATATTATTTTTAACTTATGAATTTATTTTTACATGCATTGGTGTTATTTGACATGCTTTAAGCTGAAAAATCAATTGGATATTTTTCGCAATTTGATTATTATATGAACTTATGACCTAGGATGGGCAAGAATAAAAATAATTTATTTAACTTTTTGAAATTTATATTTTATGTTGCTTTTATATAATAAAATTATTTATATAGGGGTTTAACGTTGTTTTTTTTTCTTGATTAAAGTTACACCTCATCTTCTTGTGGTTACTAAGTCTATCTAAGAATTAATAAATCAATTTAATATGATTAGTTTTATTAAAGTATCATTTAGAAAAGACGTACACATTTTCATAAAAACGACGTCAGATTACCATTTGAAAGGTTGCTATGACGCCGTTTTTTTTTCAATAGTATAATGCTGTTTTATGAAACGAGCATTATGGTCAGGCAGGTCAATCGTTAACAATTTTTATTGAAAATTTTCAACTGTTTAAAAGGTTAAAATATTCAAAAAGTTTGATTGTAAAATTTTTCATTGTATGGTAATGTGAAGGCTCTGCCGTTTTACGTATTTTCATAAAACGGATTAATAAAATAATATAATAAAAAGGGTTTCATAAAGTCAGTTACCATTTCAAAGGTCGCTATGACGCCATTTTTTTTTCAATCGCGTAATCCTTGTAGGATCGAAAAGAAAACGGCGTCCAGTTGGCTTGGAAATACCTAAACATCAATGGAATATATCCCTATATAATTTATATGACTGCGATCTTTATTTCAAAGCGATTGCTGACGCCGTTTTTTTTTTATCTTATTGTATAATGCTGTATTATGATATTATGAAATAGTATTATTATGGTCAGGCAGGCTATGAATCATTAGCAATTTTTATGGAAAATTATACTTAAAAATTTTCATCCGTTCAAATTGTTCCAAAAGTTTGATTGTAATATAAACGGTCTCTCGAGTTTTTTTAATTATTTATTTTAACAATCTATATTTTTTTTTCTTTTAACCAACTTCCCTGATATAAAAACAAGATAAAAACACATATACAGTCATATTTTTATTGAAAATCTATACAAGGCTACTCTCAGTAATTTAAAAAAAGGCGGTTTTTATTAAAAAACTGTATAACTGGTTGTCTAACGATGATATTAGAGTTGTTAATATTTCTCTAGTGACATCTATGCTAAAAATACTAAACTAGCTGTAAAAAAATTGAAATATGACTGAAAATTTATGCCACATACCTGACAAAGATGTCGCGGCGGCGTGGGAACTAAAATACGGAACTCGTTTTCTGTCGGCCATAGTGAAAAATGGCGACTACGATGAATTTAATGTGAACGAAGTGTACTTTGATTAGTGACGGTGAAGTGATTTCAGGTCGGATTTTACGAGAAAAACGCGAAAGAACAAGATTTGATTGCGATGCAAATATGCAGAATGTACCGCAGGATACAGGCGCCGACGAATCGAAGCTAGAAAAATTGAAGCACGGTGCAGAGAACATTTCGTCGACTCCCCAATCGACAAACTCGACTCCGACAAAGTCTGAAACGGAAACTTATTCGGAAAATCGCAGATTCATGTCGGAAACATCGGAAAGTGAGGAGGATTCAGTCTCTGAGGTAGGCCTATAAATTATATCGTCGTTTTAAGTTCGATTGGTGCGATGTGAGATCGCCCCAGGCCTTGGTTTCAATGAACTTATGGCCGAGAGACATCTTGTGGTGCTGAATTGTGCAGCGATTGCAGCATATTATCTGCGTTTTTTGATTAATTTGCGGTGGATTTTACCCTCGGATCGGGCTTATATAAGACGTGCCCGTGGACAACCACCATTGTCATGCCGAACGATCATTTCGAGAGTTGGGTACCCAGCCAACACGTCACATTGTTTTTTCTTTTGGAATAATCGGTCGAGTCACCCGGCCGCCAGAGACTTGTGTGGCCCGCCGACGTTTATTTTTTTGTTTTTGTGTTCGTCTGTTTTCTCAAATTTTCCATACGATTGAACGAAATTTTCTATCGCCACAGAGTACGATCCGTGTCGTTCAATTCCGTTTTATAAATAAGCAAAACGAGAACCTTCGCGAGCATCCAAATTAATCGTTTTCGCATTACAATTTATACTTGGCTACTTTGTTTAGCAACCACATATCAGCGTAGGCCATTGCCCATTCGTTGCCCGTGTTTTTTTCGCCGTTGTCTCTAGGTGGAAGAAAGGTGCAGATTTTTTCGTAAAAAATAAAGCTCTATTGTTCGTCTTCGTTTTTGTGCAACTTTCACCATTTTGCCGTTGAAAAAAACCCATAAAAATATTTGCGAATACACTTAATACCTTTGTACGGATTTTAGGTCGTGTGTAGGTAAGTCTATCGATTATTTCCTTTTGTTTTTATTTGATGCTCACCTGACCTTCATGTCGATGTAGTCTCGACGAAAAACACTTCTAGCCTGTCATAATGCATTCACCTGGAACGTCTCTTTTGTTTGAATTCTCCGAAATTTTTAGTCCTGACATCTCAGTTGAGGAATTTCGTGCTTCTCGAATTTTTCGATAATTTTAAAAACAATTTATCCTTGTTTGTTATTATTAAACGTTAACAAGCCCGCGGGCTAACGCAAAAGTTAAAATTAGAAAGTTTGTTTGAATTATTTGGGAGCACATTGTTGCAAAATCGCTCGAAAAAATATCTGCAATATTCGATTTTTAATCTTGCTATTTTTACTGGCTGGAGACTGAAATGAGGTTATGTAGGTATGGGTTCTTTAAATTGTTCACAGACTGTGCAAATCAAGGTTGTAGAAAATGTCCGTACCTTTAATAATGGTTTGGAACAATATGCATTTCAAGAATTTTACACTAATACAATAACACCATTGTACTTTTCCTGGATATACCTAGTAGTTTATTGCAATTTTGAAATGCTTGATTTTATCAGAGAGTGAAATACATGTAATTTTTTTGTTGTCTGGTGATTTATACATTTCATCAATAAAAATAAGTCATATGTGTGTATGAACCACATTAATACCTAATTATTTAAATGACTACAGTATTTTTGAGTTTATATGGCTAAAGAATAGGTAAAAATATATCTCAGTTCTATATAAAGTATGTCCAGCGAGAGAAGACAAATGTAACTGTCATAATATTATATTCTCTTTTTGGTGTACTTAAAAAGCTGTACAAAATTTTCTTAAGTATAATAATATGAAAAAATGCATTAAATATGAAATCTGTATGCAAGGTAGGTACCTAAACCAATATCACCCTTTAAATATTTTTACAATTGAGGAATACCTAGTACTAAATAAAAGTTACTAATTATTTGGCAGTTATTTATTTAACTTACAATTAGTAGATACAATTAGAAGTAGGTAGGCATTGTTTATATTTTTGCAATAGGTTATTGACCGTTCAATTTTCTAGAATTAAAAACTGGTTAAAATTTGGGATCAGAAGTCACTAGCTAGAATGATTTTTGTTTTAGTTATTATTTTTGTTATTGGAACTTTCTTTTGGATATTCTCTCAAACTTATAAATTAATAAAAATAATGTTCTTTTATACGCATTGTTATTGTCGATATTCAAAGATTAGTTGAATTGAATTTATCAGAGTTCAATTCAGATTTCAATGAAAAACTTTATTTTGTTCATAGAATATAACATACGATAAAAAAGGCGTTACAGTGGGCTTTGAAATGGAAAACATTGATCACAAATGACCAAATCTCTGGTCTCTGAGTTATGATGTGGCATATAGAAAAAAAATTCTCATACTTGCTACGTTATTCTGTAAACTAGTCAATTTGAGGTATGCATCATTCAAAAAGAATCTTACCTGACCTTTTGTTGAGATTTTCATTGTTATATTTTCCTACTGGTCCTTGTATAGTTTGCAGATAGTTTGGGATAGAAACCACAGAATGTCATGTGGCCCCTAAGGCTAATTTGGATATGCATATTTAGATTTTGCTGTAATTATCTATACCGGGTGTGTCTCAAAAGTGGCTCACCTCTATAGCTTTTTTATTTTTGACTACCACTAACTGAATAACGGAAATGACTACAACTTTTGATTTTCAAATGACATCTTCGGTATTTTTTCACCTTATTCGATAGAAAATAACACTCTGAATTATCATATATGTCAACTTTTGACATTTTCGCATATGGTTTATTTGAAATTGCAACATGCGGTTCATAACGACAATTTGATTCAAAATACCAAAGTTTGTGGTACCAAATTATTCGTAAAAAAATGCTTTTTCAAAATATGTTAATGAGCCACCCTTGTTCCGTTTGAAAAAATTGAGATATGATTAAAAATATGACTTGGGCATCTTTTAACCGGCCAGGACAAGATACGAAAAACATTAGACGATCAAAACTATTTTTCCAAAGCTCCTTGATTAAAAATGAGTGTTTTTAACACAGTCATGGCACTCCAGATTGAAATTTAAAATACGATTTTTTCAGCTAAAATGTCTAAAGTTGACATACGATATGTCATTCTATTCATAGTGTTATTTTCTATTGAATAAAGTAAAAATATACCTAGGGTGTCATTTAAAAAAATCAAAAGTTGTAGTCCTTGCCGGTGAAACAGGAAGTAACCAAAAACAATTGAATACGCCAATCAATCCTAATTTATGTCATATACTAACATACCAAATCTCGTTTTTTATCTGAAAATATAAATCTATAGGGGTGAGCCACTTTTGAGATGCACTCGGTATTGTTAAAATGGAAATATTATGTATTCTTCAGTTAAGTCGAAGTTTACTAAATAAAAACAAACAAATTTATGTTATTTATTATTTACGGATACGCATTTTTTTTTGGTGTAGATTCCAAACATCGTAATTTTGAAGAAGTGCAAAAAATCATTTACGATGCACTTTATAGCTCTCAAGTGACGTCAGGTGTCAGACAGTGTTGCCTGATTTCGCCCTATTTCAGATTTACCTGTAAATAATAAAAATTATATTTTTGAACTTTACTCAGGATATTGTATGCTATTTTTTCAGACAATAAAATAGACACAAACGGAGGTATCTCAGATATACAAACAAGATCTAAACAGAGAAATGCTATGATGTTACTGATTTAAAAAAAAAGTTTCATAAACAAATATCGTATATGATTATTATACAAACTTAGTTCGGTATTATACAATGTTCGTATTTCTTTTTAATGCTTGTACTGTAAACCTTATTAAATTATAAAGGTTTTTTGCCACACTTTATCTATTGATATCGTGCCATTGGATGTTTATATACTTCGAAAAATTCCTTTGGCATATACCAGGTGGTGCATCGTCTTTGGAAACAGGAAATCTCATACAAGTTTTGACCTGTCTAAATATTGGCTCCATTGTTAATTTTACAACTTGGTCGTAAATAGGTTTTTAAAAGGTCTATCTGAGAGGTCGAAAGTAAGAGTGGGATAAAATTTTGTTCAAAGCAAAAGTGGGTTTAAATTTTCTCTAAGATCAAAAATAGCATATACATCACAACTTTGGGCAAAAGTGAATCGAATATTAATCAGCGCAAAAATGGTTCGACAAAATATTCAGGGCAAAAAAGCTATAAAATATTAACCCGTTTTTGCGCTAAGAAAATAATACGTAGATTCGATAGACGATAAGAAAATGGTTCTTTTTACCTCTGCGCGCTGCCGTATTTATGTACTATCGAAGGGACGTTTTTATAATACTATTGAGTATTGAGTGCTGTTTCACATGGAGCGGACGTGCGGACCATCGTGGACCATTGTGTGTATTTTTAAGAATTGACGGAGTACTTTCACCTGTAGATCGCCCATTGGTTGAACAAGTACCATGAGTATTGAATGTATGAATACTTTCACATAGGCGCGGATGATCCGTCGAAGCAAGGGATCGACGGATGGCTGTTGGACGAAATCATACGGGCGGACCATCCGCGCCCATGTCAAAATACTCATACAAGCTCATAGTACCTCTTCAATAAACGGACGGTCCGCGCGGACGCCGGACGGCCCGCTCCATGTGAAACGGTACAACAGGGACGATCAGCGCGGACGGTTTGAGCGAATGCTCCGCTCCGTGTAAAACTGCACTTCATACTAAATTTTATTTCGTGTTTTTGCACCTATTTTAGTGTGTTGTTTATCTTTCTTGTCTATGGTGTTGTTCAGTATGGCAAAGCATCTCTAGCAGAGCTGCAAGCTCACAGAAAACTTAAGTCTTTTTTTGACTTAAATCATTTTAGTGACTTAAGTCATTTGATTTTTAAGTCGATAAATCAAATGACTTAAGTCATTTCATTTATTTCGAAAGATGACTTAAAATACTTAAATCTTTTTTTAACGACTTAAGTTATTTTAAAAAAGATTTAAATCTTTTAAAAGATACAATATGACCGAAAAAAGAACGGCGTCAGCGATGACTATGAAATGAAGTTCGCTGTCATTTTATATATAAAATTATATGGGGAATGTCATTGATGTTTATTTCCAAGCCAACTGGATGCCGTTTTTTTATCATACGGTATATACCTATTGATATAGTAATTATTTATATTTTTTTGCTTCACACTGCTGTACTGCTGTTTATATAATTTTTTGTGTTTCACACA